AGTGCTGGCTTTAACTCACAATAAAACAGCCTCAGGTGGAAAGACAGAAGCGTGAGAAGAATATTAAGAAGTGAAAAACAGGCAACATCACAGGCAATTAATGACAGGGAGATGATATTGGTATTTAAATAAACAGAAAACGAACTTCCTACTCATTGGAATAAAGCGTGCGCCCAGCACCGGATGAACACGGCAGCGGTCCATGCCAAGTGCTGGGCATCAGTATAAGATTTTAGCATGATGTTCAAATTATCATTCATAGTTTGGAGAAAGTTTCCCCACCTCCCTGCCAGTGCTGGTGAAGAACAGCAGCACAATGTCTCCCACTTCCTTTACTACAAGCACGGTTAACATCTGTCACGTCCCCCTCAGGTAGTCTCCAAAAAATGTATCAGGTAACATTCCCACTGCAGCCTTAGCCCATCTTCCTGGTTCACAGGCTTTCTGCCCTTCCTAGCATTAAGCAGTGAAGGATCAGGAACCTACAAATAGCAGAAACTTTGTCTATCAAACATTTCACATCTGTCACTAAGCTTCAGCAGAAAGAAGAATATGATGAATATCTCCTTTGGCTTAGACTTGTGATTTAAAAAAAAAAAAATCCGTTTTAGGAATAAAGTACATAATGGTCATTTAATATTCTCTTAATTGTGATATTATGGAATTAAACAGAAGTATTAGGCAAAACATTTGCATTGTTGTTTTTTTAACAATTGTATGCCTGAGATATAATTTTATGTGCAATGCTTCAAACAAGACCTAAGAGATAAAAGCTTTACGGTTATAAGATGGTGTAATATCATTGTGCAGAGGCCCTATAATTAAATTATTCATTTAAGGAGATTAGTTGCAAAACCACATATAATGGTTTGAAGGAGGAAACAAAAGGTATTATGAATAACAGTAAATTACACTGCATTTTTCTTTATATCAGCTGCAGATAGCTGCAATTGTTCTCCAAGCCATTACTTTCCATTAACTCAAACAATTATCATGAGGCTGTTATTTAAAGTTAGATGATATTGACTGTTAATGTACCCAAGAATTTGTTGAAATGGAGGTGAAATGATTCACAGAAACCTGGAGAACAAAGTACAACATCAATGACTTCATTAGAGCTAACAGCAGCTCACACAGCAAGAGAAATCATAATTTGCAGCTGCACTGTTACTAGCAGTGCATGGTGTGAGACGGGTAATGAGGGAACAAACCTGGAAAACCTTCTTTCCACTGGTTATTGCAGTGCAGATTGCAGACACCAGCCTGCACGCCAGCCAAGTTCCTCAGCATTTCCAAATGCAGCACCAAGAATCGTGGCAGAAACAAGAAACAAGACTACCACTGGTGTGTAAGCCTGAGCTAAGATGCCATGAGACAAACGCCCCAGGAATCTCACATAAAGCACGACAAAGTCCACATTTTCAGCACACTGCATCCTTCTAGCTCCTTCACAGCTGCTACCAAGCGACTAGGGTTCGTCAAAATTTTCTCAAGCTTCAAGAATTTTCACGGACTCTTCATGGGGATTATAAAAACAAGATGTTTATCAAAGCAGACTTCAGGATACCCAATACTGGTAAAGATAATGCCAAATAATCTGCATTTTCAAATCTCAAAGTACTTTGAAAAAAGGCATGCAAAATGACATGATATGCCTGTGATTTTTTCAATGAAAATGGTATCTGATTTATTTTCAACACTAATGATGGTCAGGGAGCCACATGATGGTGTTATGTTCCTTTTTTTTTTTTTTTTTTTTACAGAAGCAATACTGCTAACAAATGATTTCCTGACACCACTCTGACAATACTTTTACATGATAAAATAAATATAAGTGATATAAATCTAAACAACCAATTCATAAAATGATGTATCAGTATCTCAATGGTCGTGACAATGCTACAAGTGCAGATCAGCCTTCTGACAATCAACCTGGATTTGACGGTAAACAGTAACGTACTTTTTTCCCAAGTAAATTGAGCAAATAGAAAGGTAGTCGAGAAATATAGTTTTAAAACAGGCCTTCATTATTTATACAATAGAAGTACTGCCAAGAAAGTGTTTGACCTATGCCAAAAGCAGAGTTAACTATTGCATTTTTATTTCCTCTGTAGCCATTCTTTTTGCTGTGACTAAAGCAGAAATAAGTAAAAACTTCAACTATTGTAAAAGGAATTGGACAAGTGAAAGTCAGGTGGTTTTTTTTTTTTTTTTTGGATCATTCTTTAGAATTGCATACATCCATGTTAAACAATGTCTCCAGTGAATTCTTCCCTTTGTATCTACTGAAAATTTTACAGAATCACAGAACGGTTGAGGTTGGAAGGGACCCCTAGAGATCATCTAGTCCAACCCCCCTGCTCCAGCAGGGACACCCAGAGCACGTGGCACAGGGTCATGTCCAGGTGGGTTTGGAAGTTCTCCAGAGAAGGAGACTCCACAACCTCTCTGGGCAGCCTGTTCCAGTGCTCTGCCACCACCACAGGAAAGAAGTTCTTCCTCACACAGAAATGGAACTTCCTGTGTTTTGATTTCAAAATTTAATTTCCTTTCAAAAGGAAACATATATTCTGCTCTAAAGTCTACAAAAAAAGGATATCTTAGCTTCCATTTGTTACTAATACTCTACTTGACTAATAATCATATTAGCGTGATTGGAGCAAGAAGAAGCCTCTTCTTTGTGAGGATGAACAGTAAGACACTAAATGAAGTTATAAAACGTAAACAGCGAGAAAAATTTATTCCTGTACAGATTACTAATTTTACGAATTTTTGCCTTGCTTATCTTACTGTACTTTTGGCCACTGGTCAGCCAAAAATGAAAGTGAATAAAACCTTGTTGGTCCATATAAAAAGAAGTGTATGCAGTACTTCTATACACACATTTTGAGTCCATTTTTCCCAACAACTAACAGGCTGCTCAGTGAAGTTGACAGACCATTAGACAAAAACATGATTTTCAGCATCTACTTTCCTGTATTATTAATACCAACTATTTGTATACAGGAGTACACAGAAACGACAAACTCTTGATTTTGTTCTTGTGCAATTGTAACAGAATTGCCGTCACTTTCTAAAAGCTGCATAGTCTTAAAGATATCTAATGAAAAACCATCAGTGTCCAAAAAATAATGGATCTTTTATATTGTTTTATTATTCTAAGCACATTTTAATTTATTCCACTTTTAATGAATGGCATGTTACAACTACCCAAACCACAGTCAATTTCTGTCTTCAATAACTCACGTTCCTTATTTTGTGGATGAAAGTTTATAAATATCTTACACAACACAAACTGACAGAAAAGATGGCTTTAGACATTTCTCCAAAATGTACCTGCAGCTTTGTATGTTGGTTTTACATTTGTTCAGTAAACCTCAGTTATATATATATATAAAAAAAAAATTCAACAACTGATTTTGTCCCAAATATAAACTCGTTCCTTCTGCCCCCAAGTTTTCCTCATTACTGGAAGGGAACAGTAAGCATATATTCACTATAATATTTTTTAACTGTGTAGGAAGGAGGAGGAAATGAACTCGTAAGTAATTAATTAAAATTTGGATAATAGAGGAATATTTGCATAAGAGATAGGAATCTTATATTTATTTTGCTATTCCCTTATGAGACACAGGGCTGAGATTAGCTTGCATAATCACGTTGCCATTCCTGACCGGCTGATTCACCACATAAGCAGGAACAGAACAGCCTTCTGAAGTTTCAAGATTATGCCAAATATTTTAGATTTCCTCTTTGCTATTGATTCTGCTAAAATCATAACAGATTAAATATAAAAACAAGCTCAGGGAATAACAAATAAGCTATGTGAGCCCTTGCACACACACATTTGTGTGTGCAAATGTTTTGTTTCCTCATTAACCACATAAACTATTTGCTCAGGACAGGAAGCACACACAAGACTGCCAGGTTAATGATGCTCATCTGGACTTCCAGACTCCAGATAATGAGACACTAGGTGTCTCATTAAAGAAATCAGGCTATCTTGAATTTTTTGTGAAATGCTTGATTAGGAAATGCCAGTGACTACTAAGTCAGGACGCATGTCAGTTCATTATACTGGCAAGATTTAAATTTTTATCAAACACAGATACTACCCGGTCTACCAACTAGAAATAAAACACTGTATATATATACTTTTAATACAATTGAAATTACCTTGTTTGAACCTCTTCTAAATTCTAAAATATTCCCATACTCTTTTGCAGCAAGCCGAAGGTCTCCAGCAGGTTCAAACCTCTGCATGATTGTGCTAACACGCACAGTAACCATGACTCCTACTGGCACTCTCTCACTTACAACATAAAGCACACCTTATACTACAACAGTTAACTGAGAATTCCTGCCTTCTATCTCTTACTCCCTATTTATTTTTTCTTTTACTATCATCTCTGACTCGTGTTTTAAGTGTATATAACATTGCACTTTGATGCTAAAAAACAATTTTCCTGTGGATCAATCATTCATTATATAGTTTTTAAAATAAAATCTTATTAAAATAAGTATGAATAGCATCACAGTGTAATATCTGAAGAAAAAAAGAGGAAATAAAAACAATACCTATGAGGTCACAGAACTGATTTTATAGAATAATCATTGTTTTTAGTTTTTTTTGAAAAATAAAAAACAACTGAAATACCAGTATGGCCAAAACAAAAGAAAAACACAAAGAAACACTGGCATCTGAACAGAATAAAAATTAAAACGGTGACCTCAGATTACTAACATTTTAAGTAACAAGCAGTAACTTTATATTTCTATTCCTCATTCAAAAAAAAAAAAAAAAAGGAAAGAAAATCGCATTTTGCTAAACGAAAACTCAGCGTTAAATCTGTGTAAAAATAATTTAATTAAAAATAGGGGGAAAAAAACCATTCTCCTTTAAGCTTTATTAGGAGTTTATCTTTTTAATGACCTAATGAAATCAATTCAAATAATCTATATTATTGCTTTTCCAAACCTTTCAAGCTTAAAAATCGTACCTTTCACATCTTCATCTTCAATGGTTGTATTGGAACTCTCTGTTGATTCCTGTTAAGAAGCAAGTGTAAGTAGAATATATAAAACATGCCAAGTCTTATTTGTGTTCCTATGAAAAGTACAGTTAGTTATGGAGATCATGCAAAGCCTTAAGCAGTGGGATGTAATTCACAAACAAATGGTCACATATTGAGACATTCCCACCTGAAACCAACGTCAAACATTCCCATCCATTTCAAAGGGGAATGTAAATACATTTCCTGTTGTCTAATGATTTGATTTCACAGGAACATAGAGGAATTTTTTTCTTTAACATCCATCCAACAAAGTTCATCTGAAATGTTATATGAATTACGTCAGGCAGGGAGAAGAGCTTGCCATTTTAAGCTTAGTGATTAACCAACTGCGTAAAATAAGTCATTCCCTTCCGATTTTTAAATATGCAGACTTCTGAACACTATAACTTGCAGGCAGGATTTTTTTTTTTTTTTTGCTCTTAAGCTTTCGTACAATATATATTAAAACAAATAGAAAGGCTCCCAGAGATCTTAAGAAAACCGGATACAAATTTTTATGTCATAAATTTATCAATTCTCCGTCTCCTTCAAATTTTTATCACAAAGCAGTATAAAAACGAGGACAACTTCAATAAACTAATGTATCTTTGCAGAACTAATGTTCAAGCGCCTACCCACTCAGAGGAATGACTTGTCTATCAGACAGTTATATTTAAACCACTTCACTGTTAAAAAGGCAAGAACACCGTTTTTCAGTCTTTCATGAATTACCGGAAACATGAAATGTTAGGGATAAATTCAAAAAGAACACTGTCAAACCTAATAGGCACACATTTTTAAAAAGCCTGATAGTTTTTAAGCTCGTTTTTCCATCTGTTCCTTTTTTTTTTTTTGTTTTTTTTTAAAGTAACATCTTTTTTAAGTCACAGCCCAACAGCAAAAAGCATTATGTGGATTCTTTTTATCTGGGAGATGGAAGATAGAAGTGGTATTGTTTTCACTTCCTAGAAAGTATACGATCAAATAATAATAAAAAAATTTGACAGTGTTCCTTACTGTGTCAAGTGAATGTTCAAAACTGTTAACACATTGCTCGGATCTTAAAAACCAAAATGTATGTGCATCCACAAATAAAACTACATGAATCAGTCCATACACAAATGAAACAAGTCATCATGCTTCTCCTATACTGGCTGGTGTTAGACGTTTCACTCTACACGGACGCATCATGCGCTATCAGTTACATATGTTAGAGTACTTATAAGGAAATGGAAACTCCACACACACACAAGCGGGGAACACCATGCACAAGCTCTCACAGCAGATGTTGCCTGTAATACTGAAGCATCCACTCCAGTTGCCATAGTTTAACACTCAGTTTTTCAGACCAAGAAATTTAGGAGCAACTCTCCACTCTGAGTAGTTTACGTGTCTACTAGGACCTCTTGGGACATAAAATATCCGGATTGCTAATAATTACATAATAATGTCAAGTAGATGTAGTCATGCCAATATTTTATTTGGGGTTTTGACAGGGCGGTCTTTAGTAGCTTTAGTGATAAAGATTAGACTAGAATTTAAACACACGCTGTTGCCTGGGCGTAAAAACTTCGGGAGCTGAAAAGGTAGCAAGATGAAAACATGAAATTCTACAAATGCGGGATACATACACAAACGGAATATGCAAGCACACGATACACGATCACTTCTTCCATGCTTGAGGAATGTCTGCATGCATTTCTTTTTTCACTCGGATTCAATCCTTTACATATAAAATAATCACAGGGAATTAGACTAGCTAAATGCTAGGCAATTTTCTCAAAGTGAATACTGCAAACAGCAAATTTTTTTTTCAGAAGAGAAATTCTTTGCAGGAAACCTAGGAGCATGTGTTATATGGAAATGATGGTATTTCCTGGCCCTTTTCAAGTCCATGCATGAAAAAATAAAACAAACACATGTTTTAGGAATCAGCTGCCAAACACAAACACCACAATACACAGGAGATAAAAGAAAACAGCATGAAAAATGTATAAAAATCAAAAAAGTTCCTCATCACTTGAAAGGTTGGTTTTTTTTTTGAAACTGCTCAATGATGTTACAAAAGACAGGTCACAGCATGGTGTACGAGCACGCTGAGAAACAGCGGATGGGGTGAGCTTTCTGAAGGTATGTCTTTATCTGAGGTGACAACTCCAGAATCTCACCGAGCTCTGCAAACAGCATTCCTCTGCTTTAGTTAAATTGGAGAAATGTTTGTCTGAAACCAGAAGGAGCCCCCACTGCCGTGCTTGGCTGCACAGGGTACTGCACACCGGCAACTGCGACCGCTCCCCGCGAGGGCTTTGGGCGCTCCGCGGGCGCAGAGCGCGCGCAGCAGGAACAGAACGCAGGGGACACCGCGGGTGACAAACACAGCAACGAGTGTGTCCTTCGCAAACGCCTGGAATGGCCCTGCTCTGCTCTACCATAGTGGATGAAAGGCGTGGTTTGGAAAAGCAAGATGGAATCAGTTCTTTCTGAATACCTTATTTCCATCAGGGTTGTGGATTACTGTAGTTTGGGGCTCCTGAGCAAGAACAAAATAGAGAGAAAAACAATTCTCATTGGTAAACGCATTTTTGTTACTGTGAGGGCGTGCAAGAAGAGCCAGCTCACAAATGCTAAAACAAATGTTAACTGTTGCCGGCAGATGAAACTGGGTATTTCTGATAAAAGTTTTCCTCAACCAGCAAGCCAGCAAAAACAGATCATCTCTCTCAATCCAGCAGCATGCAAAGACCTTATTCATGATCACATACATATACAGGGCTTTGAAGCTCTGAAAACCTGAAGAGGCTCCTTTCTTTTTTGGTAAGGTCTCATGCTAAATGCTTTGCTCATTTTCCTATCTGAGCTACTAAGGTGATAAACCACCACCTTTTTCCTTTAAACATGGTTATCAACGTTAGCATTAAGATAAAAATGATCAAATAAAAAAACAGATGGATAGATACGGACTCAGGAAAAAATAGGTGCATTATTATATTAATTTCTGTCTTGGCAGGGCAGCAGAGAATAAGTGGGAAGTCTTTGTGTCATTTCATAATGCAATTTCCCCAAATCTGTTTTCCTTAGAAGACAGAAGGAAAAAAAAAAAAAAAAAAAAGGCAGGTAAATATTAATAGTAGGTAGCCAGCATAATTTCGGCCTTTCAGCATAAACCATCATATATGGTCTGGGAACTGACTGCCATGTGCTCTTGCATAAACCTGTAAAATAGTCCTTGGATATTACGTAGGAATGTATTCCTCATTGGGAGTTGCTCATAAAGCGCAAAGAATCTCTCCTGAGGCATGCGTGCATGTATGTTTTCAAAGCATCCATCATATGGAAAACTTCATGAAATCAGGTATTTACGTGCTAATATCCACATTTTTTAAGCCCTGTGGCAAATGTATGCCTAATAAATTTGAGTTACTAACAGAAACAAAATTGTGATACAAATATTAATGAATAGTCCTCCGATTAGCAATATGTTCCTTGCAGTTTCTTAATAGTGGATAATGTCTCCTATAGATTTAAGTACAAGAGAAACCACCAAAAAGCTTTATGTTTAGATGCCTCTTGATCCCAGTATGCAAAGACTTGCAAAGTCCTGTTACGTTTTATAGAATATTGAATAAAAATCTGAATAAGGTCTATGTTATTGTTGCTTGGCAATAATCCTTTTTTTTTTTTTCTCAAAAAGTTAGCACTGAAAAGACTGAAACAATCACCACGCAAACAGCTAAGAGCAACATAAAGCGCATTCTACTCACTTTCTGGAACAGCATGCAAAAAATTCAACTACAGATACAACTACCATGACTCTACTGCATCCAGCGTCCATGTAACATTTTCTATTAATAAACACACTGCTCAACAATGGACTTCGTCCAAAAAAAGAAAAGCATAATTCAAACCAAAACGTGTTTTCCCCAAACCTGTTTTTAGAAAGCAAACCAAGTAAACACATGAAAAAGGGGCGGAAAAAAATAGGGGAGGGAGAAAGAACGAACAGAAAACAGTCAAAAACTTCAAGATAGCATGAGAAGCAAGAGTCCAGGTATACCAGCGCCGGGGTAGGAATATTTTCCTTGGGGCTGGTTACCACGTTGGTTTTGTTGTTTATCTGTAGGTATGCAGAAAATAGAAACAGACAAGCCTTAGAACTCGCAGTAGGCACCGTATCTATATCTCTCTGTATAGAACATCTATATACAGATATAGATATCTATATATAGATATAGATATGGAAATAAAAGGATCACAGAAAGATGAACTTATGAACTTGAAAGGAACACTAACAATAGCTTTGACAGCTAGCTGTAACTTCTCCAAACATGCTAGCTACAGGCTTTCAGATGCAGTCTAGGAAGTTCTATATAAGATAGAGATGACTTCAGCTGTGACACTTAAAAGAATGGAAAGCCTTTAGAAAGCAGCGCTATATATATATATATATATTTATATATATATGTATATATATGCATATATATGAGAAGAATATAAAATTAATATGTGTTTTAAACAGATTCCTAAATTGCCACTGTAATTTCTTACCAATATCGAATAACTGCACTCAGGTACACTTTTTTTTTTTTTTCTAATTACCAATTATGACATAAATAGCATTTGATTCATCATAGCTCTTCAGAGATCTATAGTTATACTGACTTCTTGGAATGTAATTCCATAAATATGACTGCTGTTGAAAATAGACTGGTGTCCCTTTAGCTTTTTGGTGTTACTTTAGACAAAAATAACCGCCAGCTGTGATTTTTCCAATCTCAAGTATGTTGCCATAACTGTGTATCAGCCTTTCAATTTTGGTACCATACCATGAAAGTATCATGTTCACACAGCAGTGTCTGCAGTCTTAATTCACAAAGCACTGCATATCTGCTTATCTTCACATGTGGATAGTCGTGATAGTTCCCGAGTTTAACACAGTACTATATCTTCACAAGATTGGCTTTTTATTTATACAAGTGTATATCTCAAGGAAATGGAAACAGTAAGCCTAAATGTATCTGATTCTTTAAATTCACTTTTAAAATTCGCTTTCATAAATACCGTGGCATAAGCTGAAAAATATTGAATATCGGGTACATACCAAACTACCTTTTACATGCAGTAGGAAGCAATATTAAAGCATAGGCAAAAACAGTTTAAAATGTCATTTCAGTCTTTGAGAATTATTAGAACAGTTAGAAAAAAATAGAAAATCTGATTTTTTTTTCCACAAACATTTTGGTCATGTTTGATTTGAACAACAGCAGTCCAAAACAAGATACAAAGATGTATATAGATATATAATTTGGAAAAAAAAATAGCAAAGCAACATATTGAACCTTCTATTCACAGTACTTAACATTAAATGTACAAGGCAAAAGAATAAAAATACGTAATTCTTTCATTAATTGATTTTTTGTAAAAAAATTCAGTATGTCATCTAAAGAAACTCTAGCAATCCTCTGAGCCAGCTTGTAAGGTACTTTTAGTTCCTAAAGAAAGGCCTTTCTAAAACGAATTAGAAAATGATGATGTCCTCAGTAATACTTATGCAAAGGCATAAAGGGAAAATTCTAGAAGAGTGGACCAAACTGAGCTATTTTATTCAAGAAACACCTGACTTCTACCTGACTTCATAGCTTCTCAATGATTCTATAATCTCAGAACAGTATTATTGATGATAGGACCCATTTTCCCAAACAGAATAAAAATATTTTTTCTTTGATTTAGAATCAAAGTTAATAGTCCTATATCTGTAGCAGGAGAATGAGTTTTTCTAACACTGTGTTTTTCTAATACTGCTTTTCTACAGAATTTGTCATTAAGGGAAAGTATGACTGATTTACTGAATTCTAAGTGCTTATTTTATGCTCCAACTTAGACTTGTTATTGCCAAATAATTTTAATTTATCTATTCACAACCATGTACTCCAAGTGCAACTTCAGCTAGAAGTTGCAGGGCTCTGCGCTCAACAGAGGAGGAGAAGAAATCCTTGGTGCATACTGGCATGCATTCACAGGGAGCTCTGTCAGATGAAAACATTACAAGTGTTTATATAACGACTAACTTGCTTAGATACTTGTGGAACTGTGTGATTGACAAAACCTGAAGTCCTTACTCAGGAAAAACCTTTAAAAAAAGAAACACTACTGCTTCAATAAATGGAAATTCTATAGGAGAATTATGGAATAGAGAGCACACATACAACACTATTTGATGGCATAATGTATCTTCAAACACAAGAGAAAAATCACATATCAACTTATGTAACTAAAAGTTCATGTTTTAGTGACAGCTTAGCCATCAAGGCACTACCAACAAAAAGTAACTAATAAAAAGACAAAAATGCACACACAGCAAAAACAAGAGGAAGGAAATTAGGATTTCATCAGATTTCATACAGTTCCATTCAGTAGTAGCTTAATACCAAAAATAAAGTGATATGCCAAAAAAATGCTTGTTGCTGAATACATAATGAAAACAGATTAATCAAATTTTAACTCCAATTTTGCCTGAGTAAGGAGAGCAGGCTTGGGTCCATACTCCCTTGGTGAAAGTCCTATAAAAATAAACAATATCCATTACAGCTACTGCTGAAAACTGCACGAAATATATTCAAAACTTATTAGTACTTATTAGTAACATATCAAGAATTCAGCATTCATCACTAACAGCAGAAAGAGATAATGTAATTCAAAACAAAGTTATTTCTTCTATATAACTCTTTGAGGCTTAGAAGGAAAAGAGCAATAAGCCTGTACACTTTCTCTCTTCCTCATGTAACACATACACGAGATTTTTCGTTAATATATATGAACACACGATTATCTGTTTTACATGTATTTTAACAGAACAGGGAAACTATTCCAAAAGGAATAAAATATTTTCATATGAGACAACTGATCTAAATGTAAATTATACTGAAGTGGTGATCTATTTCTTGTACAGAAGAAAAACTTTTGTACTACAGCACTGCTTGTCCACAGACACTCTTCGGTTTGATAGTAGTACAGGACATAAACACACAAGCACACCAAGCAGTTGGGCATGACTGTAGCATCGTTTTTTCAGTATCTTATAAAACATTTTAAGAAACAAAACCTGTACCTCAGGACTAACCTTCCACAAAATACTTTTGTAAGTGAAGAATTAAAGCATAATTCATGCTTGGAATACTAGAAACATCCCCGCTGTACCTGTCCTCTGATCCTCCTCTGGACACCATTACCGCTGACACTCTGAAATTCTACCTGCACCCAGAGGAGAGCAGAGTGTTTCCCTAGGTAACTACATGCCTACTCCAATCTGGCTATCCCTGGTCACTTTTTGAGGGGGATTGGGCTTGCCAAAGGAAGGAGACACACACGTGCCTTCTCTTTATCTTCAGCAGCAACAGAAGCTGGCTGGGACATCTCAGCAGATCCTCAAGAATACCTCCAAATTCCAGTTCAAAGCCATAATAAACAGGAATATAATGAGTTGCCATAATAAACAGGAATACAATGAGCTGCACCAAGGCCAACTGAATGTGTAACTACGGAGTAGAGGAGGGAGAGAAGTTAGACAGACTGGCAGGCAGTTGGGACATCTGGTGCCAAATCCCTGTGCTTGATAGACGTTAGCTAGGAAAGCACATTATGGAAGGCTGTGCAGTTTTTCTGATTCCTGTGCATTTTTGGCATTGCATCCTGACTTGCAATTGCTCAATTAAAGTTATGCACTTTCATTGTGCAAAGCAACGTAGTTTGGGTTACACTTTATTACATTAATATTATTAGCTTTTAATATACAAAGATTTTTATAAGCTAATGAAAGGCTGTTATAATATTACTATATTGTTACTATTTTTATCTGCTAAGAACAGCTGCATTGGACCATGTTACATCTACTTTTTTTTTGTATTTACATGTCCCCAGTTTAAAGAAACAGAAACTTGCTCGAAAGAACTGCAGAACAATTCATTGTGGATGATATACAGCAACTGCAGGCTTAAATTCACAAGGTTGTACTTGAAAATTTTGCAGTTTCTAACAGTATGTTAATAAAACTAAATGCAACTGTTTGATTTCTAAGTGTGAACGTTTCACAGGAGGAAAAATCTGTCAGATAAAGATCCTCACCATCATCTGAACACTCGAACTGGACTTCCTTTTCTGAATTGACCAGTCAGAGAGAAAGGAAAAGAAGAAAATATGACTGGTTGGATTTAAAGTAGCAATGCATGGAGAACAGTATATTTCCTTTTTTTTGTTGTTGTTGTTGTATTTTTTTAAGAATGTTTAACCTGTAGAAAGGGGTAAAAAATGCTATGGAGAATATATATAGCTTCTCAATAAAAGAAAAGAGGAAAACAGACCTCCCCAGATGTATACTCACTCTCTTTGCTCCACATAACTACACAGGAAAACAGCAGATACATACAATGCGTGTAAACTAAAGTATCAAAGCCCAGTGAGTGCAATTTAGGCAAAATTTTGGCAACAATTGTTTGCAGTAATATAATCAAAATTAAGATATAACTAATACTACTGTAGACCTGTAGGAGGAATGATATTTAAAAAGGAAAAACTATTCAGCTGAAGTACATACAATTTAAATATTCCACGATGAAAGATGTTAAGGGTTTTCCACAAAAATAACAGACACGGTCCTGTAACAGCTTCTCCATACACATAAGACATCTGTTACTTTTCGGTGAGAAGCACTTAAATGCTAGTGTGCTCGCCTCTTTTTCAGTCAGTCTCAAGAATATTTTGATAGGGAATGTACACACATTTGTGAGAGGGACAATATACTATGAGTCTGATATTTAAGTACACAATGTTTTGTTAAGAGTAAAAAATTAAGATTATATATAAAATTAAATTTCAGGTCAAAGACACACTCCTGAGAAAATACATAGAGCACAGAAGAAATTCTTTCAAATCATGTAATGAAAGCTTGAGGCACTTATTTTAGTCTTCAGGAGTCCTCCAAGAAAAGAAATAAAAGATTTTTCATTTCTGAGTATTTTTTTTCTGGCTGTTTTTCAAAGTATTAATGCAGAATGGCCATTTGTGAAGCATCTCTCCTCCTGCAGGATCTGGTGACATGAGAATAGGAACTCTAAATTATGTATGAAAGCTGCCAAAATGTTCCCTTCTTAGCAAGGTTTATTAGTCAGGAAAAACTTATTGTTGACATATTAAACCCCTCGAGTTCTGCCAAATGTCCTTGGTACATTTGGCAGAATACACCTCATGTGGAGCCAAACCTACCAACAAATTTTTGATCTTCCATGAAATCTAATGAAAAATCAAGGGTAAACATGGAGGCAATAAAGCTGCAGATAAGTACTGGTAACCTTAAAGGCTAACATGCCCACCACCATCATTTCTACTTATAAGCCAATTAATCACATTAATTACATTAATTAATAACATTGGGTCATTAATTATACAACCATCTTTCACTGAAATAGCAAGCAAGGCATTCCTTCTCCAGTACTTTTCTATTTTCCACTTATTAAAATGCTTATTTTCAACTATTTCTTTTATTTAAGTTTTGCCTAACACGCCCAGTACACATTAAGAAGCATCTAAATTCTACAAAGAAAAAAGCTGATTAAGTTCTAAAAATATCCACAGAAGTTACAGATAGTGAATTAGAAAATATTAAGTATATATTTAACCTACCTTGACTCCATCCGGCTTTTTCAGCAAACTCTTAGCTGCTGTAAAATGAAAGAAATAATTTCAGTGCCAGCTAGTTACTCCCAAGGTCAATCAGCTGTACAGCAAGCCCCCCACTGCCTCAAGCTGCACACATTTTTAGCTTCTATTTTTCTCTCTTTGTTGCTCCAAGTAAAGGAAACAAGATATTCACAATATTTAAGAAACTATAAATACGGAAGAGTATAATATCATTCTTCTACTGATTAAAGCTGACAATAATTATACATTGAGAACTTTGCTGTTAGGAACTATTGGATGCCATAAATAAAAGAAAGAGAAGTAGGACAGGTGTAGAAGAGCAGCATGGAATACATTCATTTTCTAGACTGAAGCATGTTAACAGCTGTAGATAGGCATAACAATACAACTACGAAGCAGTACCATTTTGATGGTAGGGACTTTGATATCCTACTGGTAGAGCTTACTCCTATCTTACTGCTGTCATCAATATAAGAGCGGCATAAAAGTAAGCAACCTCTAATTGATGGGGAAACGTACCTGAGGCGGACTGACTACTCCATTAACCAAGAAGTGAACTTCACTATAAAATAGCATTTTTGCACAAGGGTTCTTTGGGGATTTCCTACAGCAAAGGTATCAGTCACCTCACAGAAAAGGACAAGGAGGTTGCAAATCCAAAGGGAAAAGCAATCTGCCAGGGAAGCTCTGTTTCAGGGAGTGCTTCTTGGGGGATTAATAATTAAGAATGGTGCTTCAGTTTCTAATGAAGAAAACCTTTCTGACTTTCTGAGCTGTGTTGCACCCTGATTAGTCAATTTTCTTTTAAAAAGGTGTTCCATTTGTCTATAATTTCAGTCTGATCTAATGGGAAAGATTTTTTGCAATTTTGAATCACAGAGATATTAGGCTTTAAACCTACCGCATAGACTGTGTCAGACTAGTCCAAGTTACTAAATTTGGAAGGTTAATATGCAAGCAGGCAAACCAAAACCCTGAACTTGCAAACATCTGCAGCTGAAATACATGCTGGGAGACCTACCAAATTCAAATAAACTATTCACAAGTGTGAATGCTTGCTGAGCTGCTGCCAAAACCCATAAGAATACTGAACTATTAAAATGAGCCTGGCATTTTTATTTGTTGCTTATGAACCTTTTGCATTAGAAGATATATTTTAGTTTTAAGCTGTAAGCAGTGTATATACAGCTTCACTTAGAATTTGGAAGCCTTTTTGATAGAGGAATGTTCCAGGCTAAAAGAGCTGGTGCAACCAAGGGGAGAGAGATATGACATGGAGCTTGATCCATACAGGTATTCCTGCCCTGCCAGCCTGATGCTGTTCAAACTACTTCTGAATTTTGGAGGGGGGAAATGAGGAATGGAAAGGAGGACATCACACATTTCAGCCTCCCTCTTCTTGCACGGGCAATACTTAGCAGTGCTTAAACCAGAATGCCAAGTGTTAAGTGTTGTTTCTGATGACAGGTTACCAGCATTTGTTTCTGTTTACCATCACCGTCACTAGGGGAAGTAAGAAAAGCTAAGGCTTCAGAGGGACGTGTCAAGCTGGGCCTTTCGAATCTACTCCAGGCTACAGAGGCCATGCCTTCGTGCACACACATGCTCAGCGTCTCCCACCTACACGAAGAGAAGGTGCTGGTCACCGTTTCTCTTCAATACCTGCGGCATTAATTACTAAGTGGAGTGGTAAAGCCAGCTGGCTGGGTGGGCTGAGCTTGGCCCTGAGAAGGGCAGGAAGGTTTTGTGTGTCGTACAGATGGGGGCAATCCTGATCTGCATCCTGCACATGAGCTGATGCAGCAGGGAACGTGGAGCCTTTTTATAATGAAAAAACAAACAAACAAAAAAAAGTCTTATAGACATTCCTTTGGAAGAAAGGGAGGTAATACTTTTTGGTCAGGGACCATATTAGGCGAGTTCTAGTGAGAGAGTTTCTTGGGATATAATTTAATTCACATTTTCCTTGAGTTAGTGACTATCTGGTTTAAACTTGAAGCTCATTTCTGTATTTGTGGCTTGTTCACCAACAATATCTGCATCAAGTGCTCTTTTAGGTTTGATGGGGAGTGTAGAAAATGTAAGATCACACCAGAGACTGTACAGAAATAGCTCATGTCTATTATTGTACTGTTGACATTAAAACTGGAAAATGAGGTTAGGTTTTGTCTGTAGTTTACCAAACGCATATCATGCCTCCAAATATATTTTAATACTTATAGACATCAGAAAAACTCTTATTAAGAATGTGACAAGGCCCATGTATTAAAAAACACATTTGTATTATGTAATAGAAATACTGCATATTTTTACATAAGAAAAAAACATAAATTTACATTTAAAATGAACTACTTTATACTAGTTTTCGAGATAGGACTCTTCCTGTTGTAATGTGTGCTTTCAAAACCTGAAGCAGCGAGGCCTCCAACCCAATGCAATTGTTACCCTTTACAATAAAGAATTTTTCGGGAACTTCATTAGCTTCTGAAATTAATTTATGGAAAGAACAGGAGGGGGAACCATATCTAAAACCTACAGTCAAAAAAAAAATTCCTTTCAAAGCATGTTTAATACTGTTAGAACTCACAAAAATATAGGAAAATGTAAACTAATTCTTATAGGCTGCTTTTCGTAACAAATGAAGTCCTTTCCCTAGACTTTTGTATATAATTTCTGTGCTTTTTTCAAAACTTAAGAAACATTAACAAAAGGAGGGAAAAAAAAAAAAAAGGCAAGTGAGGGTACCAAAAGCAGTAACTATAAGAACTGTATTTATGGCATTGTCAGCATACCCTTTGAAATGTTTCTACTATGGATTATTATGCAGTATGTTATTTAAGAGGACATCCATCTTACACCACTGCTTTTGCCATTTTGTTTTTATCTTGGAATGTATTTTTAAGAATATGTTAATGCATCTTTCTCTGAGCACAGATACTGCATACAGATCAAATATTTAAGGAATTTGCAGTAGTAAAGCTATTAGCATATTCTAAATTAAGCCCACAATGAAAGAGTTTTGCAACTACATGCAACAGCTATAAATTAAACCTATGCAGTGCTAATAAGCCAGAAAGAAAACTGAAAAGAAATGGCATTTGTGACAACATGATGAAATTAGTGTAATTTAGGGCAAACAGCAATTTTCATTCAGAAGAGAAGGAAAGATGTTCCTTTCACGTGCTGAGGGTCTTACCTCACAAGAAATATACATTCCACATAAAAGGAAGAAAGAAAAAGGAAAATAAAACACTTTTATAATGACATTATTATGGACAAATGACCTTCAAAAGCATGCGTTGCAATGAATATAATGAATAAACAACTTGAAAAGTAAAATATTATTATGTGTCATTATGGTAAAAAACAAAGATGATAAGTGACAAAAATGCAAAACAAAGTCTACAAAAACTGTTCGCTTTTCATGCTGAAATAAGGTTGAAAATGACTTTGCCTACTTTTCCCTCACAGAAGCTGAAAATCACTCTTACTTATATAGGCTATGGCAGTTAAGAATAGTGATGAGAAATGATCTATCTGTTTGATATTTTAAAATAACTCATTTTTACAAGATATGCAACCTATAGTGTTACCACCACTAAAAAGGAAGAAAAGGTACTAGCAATTAATTAAGTAAAAACCTAGTATAATTTACTTGTAGTTTTCTACATGTAATTTTCTGTGTAACAGGTATATTAACGTAGGAACCTAACCACAGAAAGTGTATTTTAAACACTATGCAAATAGAACAAGCTGTTCATTCATTCATAATTCTTTAACTGCTTTTGAATAATTCAATGCTTATTATTATTCAAAACGTACTCAAAGCACTATTACGTTTTTATCTGTAAATTAATTTCAATTACACTCCAGCAGTTACATCACAGAGAGCACATTACAGCTTTTAAATTTGCTAGTTCTTTTCACTATTCCCTTAAAATCTTAAAAAGCAAATGAAAAATTTAACATAGCATCATAATTTCCACCATACTGTTATATAAGACAATTCTAACTATAGTAACAGCAGTTATTTTGACCTTCAACATCCACCATTAAAATGTATTTGATACAAACACCCAAAATCCCCGTACACTCATTAGAAAATTACTTCATAAGCAGGAAACACCTTGTTATTTCAAACTGGAAAAGAGGGATAAAGGACTGATCTTAATATTTCTCTTGCTCCTTAGCAAAGTAATAAAGAATGAACATGTCTTTTTTAAATACAAAACACAATCAAATCCTGGAATGAGATTTCAGTCATATAAAAACAAACAACTTTTAAAACTTTGTTTGACCACACTTCCAAGTCAGCTAGAAAATGTTCCATTTGGCCAAAATAGTTTAATTTTCTTGTTTGTTTCTGCAACAAAAACAACAACATTGACATACTCCTTGGCAATGAAGGTCCTTCTATATGGCACAAACCCTAATTGGATCTTATTCATCAACAATGTTAAAAAAACAACGCCACTGAGTCTGGAGCTCCGTGAACATACCTGAGAAATTTCTGGTAGCCAGCATAGTTGTCAAAATGGCTCCCTGTGTACAAATACATTTTCTCAAATTAGCGTTACACTTGTGCAAAACTCAAACACAATGCAAACACAACACAAACGAAAACACACTTAACTTGCATAAATGGCTAAATTAACCCTGAAACAAAGCATTTTCTGTGCATTACCTCTCATGTATGATGCTGTGAATGCATAAACTGTACTCTTAAGTATGCACCTGTTAGCAACCTGATAAAATCAAATAGTCACTGTCTGTCAGTATGTTAGGAACAAATCCTGAGTACTCACAGGCACAGCAAGCAGCTATTGAATTGGAAACTGAAAATGAAATGGACTTGATTTGTGTCCTTTGAGTCTTTTTTTTTGAGGTAGGAACAGAAGTTCGTTTGCATTGTGCTGATCAGAAATGTCCAAATTTGTAGAACTATCCTGCCCTGGCTGATAAAAATGAAACAAAGGACATTCTACGAAATAGCTTCAGGGATTTATTTACTTCAATTATTTTTATTCATTTTTAATCAATTAAGTTAATTGCTGTTAATCTCACCAACAAAACAGTGCAATAATAATTAAAAATTCCTTTCTAAAACACTCCTTTACAATAGACTAAAAATGCAACTAGATTTGGAAAAGGATACACTGAGTCCAGCATCACAATGTTTATAATACTTAGCACTGTAGCTTAACTCTGCATGCTACGTTTTCATCACCTTTGTTAAAGATTTAAGATCCACATGATTAAAGGCAGATCATTTATCTGTTTGCTCAGAGGACGGTAATATTCAAAACCAAATTCCTTTCAGGCCATTTGTTTTAGAGGTGGAACAGAAACCAACATAACACTTTTTTTCTCTCTCCAAACTTATTTACTCATCTTTGTAGTTTTTCTTTCTTACCTTTAGTTTTCTTCTTGCATTGAATTTCTTCAAGCAATCTACTGTCTCTTGTCTGTGCATCATGGAGGCAACAGTAGAACGTTGCTAAGGGAAGAAGAAAGAATTATTTTAATGTTTAGCCAGACATTTAGCAAATTATTCACTGCAAAACATGTATATAACACACATGGTACAAGTCATAAGACTTTAATTTCTACTCTGTGTGACTGTCTCTTTACACAGGATCATACACTTTTGGAAAATCTTCACATCAACAAATTAAGGACTTCTTAAAATTTGTACTTCTCGTGTAATGTGTTCCTGAAGGATTTGGGTTACATAGAATACAGGTAAACGAAGTAATACAGTCAGTTATGGTTGAAGGAAGCTTTTTTAGCATTAGATATATTAGGTGAACTACAGCAGCAGGAAATAACTCAGAGAATGCTCAGCTATATCTACACTTTCCCTGTAAGCCGAATTGATTTGCATTGCAATTTTAAAGGCAAAGATAACACAGCCTACTGGAATGAATAAACAGTTGGGAATCTCCCTATGACTTTGTAAGTATCAGCCATGACTACCTGCAAAGTCAAACTGTAGCATGACCTGAGACTTGGGAAGTGGTGCTGGATCCAATAATAGAATGGCAGCTTTTATTACTCACAAATTGACTTCTAACACGTCCCTTAATTTTCTGTCTTTAAATTTCATGCTTATCGTAACGATTATAGGAAAATGATAATGCACACACATGCAACTTAAAATGACTTTCCTGTACATTTCTTTCTCTGAGAATTTGCAGTACCACCAAGAAAGTATCACAGCCTAATAGCATCAGTGAATCATGAAGTTAAGGAAAAGGAGTCCCTTTCTGCTAAATTCTGTCTCAGGCTGGAACCTTACAAATCCCTACTACAAATAGATACAAAGGAACAGCATGAGTAAGGACAAATGTTATCCTCTGAACACCTTCACTGGATGCTGAAGAACACTATAAATTGATTTGGCCATAAAATGATTTTCTGAATAAGTGGAAATTACTTACACAGATCCATGGATGCTTTAGTGCTTCTGATGCTGTGATACGTTTTGCTGGGTTAATTGTAAGCATTTTATTGATAAGGTCTTTTGCTTCAGGAGTCACTGTATCCCACTCTGGTGATGGAAACTTAAGAAAAAAAAAAGGATGCGTGTATTAACTTGTATGATCTCTACAAAATTTTACGTCAAGATTTTTACTGATACTATTTTTGTAACACTAACCACTAGCGCAACTTAACAGGTTTAAGAAAAAAAATGCAGCTTGTCGCTGTTAGAACCATTTGAATTAACTGTTTTCAGTTTAATAAAGACACAAATAGTATGTGTTATTATACAATCTCCTTGTTTGCTTTCTTTCAAGTTAATTTTCATGCTAACTGTATAGTTATGGTGTATAAATCTAATTAGTCATTAATTTAACATTCTTTGCTCAGCCAAATATTTACACTCGCACTCAAAGTGTAAACGCAAATGGAATGAAAAACATGCATGTCTATTGCTTTTGTGAAGACAGACCTTAAGCTTGAGCATTTCACTCTGAGGTATCCACTATTAAAAAACGACTATTTGAGATCATAGGAATTTGTTACAATCTAGGCAAAGCAGTTCACAAGCATGTAAAATGTACATACAATACAGATGCAGAGTGCAATCTCTGCACTCACGCATGTCTTGCCCTCTCAGCTGAAACTATAATTCTAACTGTCATCCTGTTTATTTCTATATGATTACTTTTTCGCTAGGAAAAAGACTAGACAGACCATAAATTCATTTCCACTAAAAGGCACGACAATCACTTTCCAGTCATTATCGCTCCAGGACTGGATTCAAATAAGTAGCTTAAAAGACAAAAAATTCTGCGTCTCTTATTCTTCTGTTTAGCCCTCTATTTAGCTTAATATAAATGGATGAAGTTGCAAAATTCATGCATGCTGCCAGCTCAGTTTTCCAAATAGTTACCAGCCTGAAACTTTTTATTTTTGAAGAGCTCTATGCTGACTTGTATTTACAAAAACAAAACAGTATTGCACTGTACATTCAGGCGGCCTAACGCATTATAAAAACAATTTAGAAAAATCTCTTGGTTTAAGTGATAAGACCATAAGGAAAAAAAAAAGATAGGCTTCTGGGAGTTCAGAAATATTTATCAGAAATACAAAGGTCTGCCAAGAAAATATAACCTTTTCAGGACATATACAAGGGCTGGATAAGGAAACTGGGAGCATACAGAAATCAGATTTAAATTAGCATAGGATGTTCCCAGCCATATAAATTTCACGTTACCAAAGAAGTATTTACCATAAATAAAAAATAAATAAAAAATAAAAAATAAAATAAATAAATATTTAAGTTAACTTTTTATCAAAGAAAACTACTGAGAGGTACCATTATAATTAGCTAAGTAGACAAAGCAACACATACATCATAAGCACCAGCCTTGATCTGCTGGTAGAGTCTGTGCTGGTCTTCATCCCAGAAGGGAGGATATCCTACTAGAAGGATATAGAGAATGACACCTGCAAAAAGTTAACATCAAAATTCAGTGATTTAGCAAAATAAACTCCAGAAATTAATTTTGCACCTGAACTACATGTAAAACAAATAGTTCAGCAGCAGTATCCTAGCTGAAAACCTCACAGAAAAACACTGCTATTTATGCTGTCATTGAAAGTAAATATAGGGTACACAGGGAAACATTATATGCAGACTGAGGGCAAGAACGTGTACCTGAAAAAATCAGATGAGGCACACTGTCTGTGTCTGTCATTTAAAAGAACGGGAGGGAGGGAGGGAAGGAGGGGAAGGAGGGAAAAAGAAAGTTCTGCACTATAGACACACAAAAAAAAGTTCAAATATTTAAAACTGTAGTTCTAAAATCAGATCAGTTTTTAGGCTATTTGCGAACCATATTAAGATTCTGCTTGCAGTATGAATGGTTATGTTTGGTAACTAGTTGGACATAGTTGCCTACGGGCAATTTTTTTTAAAACATTCACGTGAGCTGTATAGTGATGGCCAAGAATGCACTGAGAGAATATCTTCACAAATATATTTTTCTTTCCAAAAAGCTGGAATAAGAACAAAAAATCTGAAAACTTCCAAAAATGTATGCTGAATTTCACTAAATATCTATTTTCTGATGTGGAATATAATATATTCTAGATACCATCTCTCTCCCCCAAAGTACTTTTTTTCTCTAAACCAGACTGAACACTTTCATAATCATTTCTTACCACATGCCCACATATCCACGGGTTTTCCATAGGGATCTTTACGCAACACCTCTGGAGAAAGGTATCCTGGAGTACCAGCAAAGCCTGTCAAAATAAAGGGCATATATTCTCAGAAGCTGTAGATGCTCTTCAAAAAAGCTAGCCAATTCTCATCTCAGCCCACAACACAGGAATCATCGATGCCATTTAATATTAAACACTGAATTTTGAACTTTCTTTTTTTTGTGGCAATTCACTTAGAAGTGACAATACAGGGAACACTATTGCAGATTGGTCTCATTTCTTCCTCCCATCATGTCTGGTGCAGTTCAGATGACAGCTGAAAAATAGCTGCTTAACCCACCTACACTAACACTCCAGGTTCATCAGTGGAGGCAAGGATCTAGTGACAGCGCGACAGTGGATCATTTCCAAAAGAACTATAAAATAGCTGACAAAATTTCATTCTTGATTTTTGGCTAGCTGTAAACCATAGTGAGTAGAGAGGTACTTATGCATTTCCTCAAGGTCAAAAAAAGTTAACAGATTAGACATGAATGTAAGAAGCCTCAAAGATCTGAGTGATGCTCTTGGAGAGAGAGAAAGCTTCCTGAAAGAGAGAAAATGTGCACACCCCGCATGCCAAAAACTATGAACATTTTTTTAAATTACTCATTAGCCTAATCTAGTTCACTTTACACTAGTCCCAACTATAAAAAATATGCCTGTAAACAGGAATCACACAGAACTTATGTCAGTCCTTGATCCGTCAGCTGTGAAGAACGTTACCACAGATCCAAAACTTCCACTGACATTTATGGGAAACTGATTTTCAGAACAGAAGTGCAGCTCAGCTACAGTTTCAAAACTATAGAATTTAAAGTCTAATTTCATCTTATGGAAGTATTGATTACCAAGTAATCAATAGACAGGGCTTGATTTAGAAAAGCTCAGAAATGGGTGAATCTTTCATGTAAAAGGAAAAAAAATAGAGGTAAAAACATCATTCTAATTTATTTCCACAGAAGCAGCGACTCACTTTAGCCAATGCCAGATGATGGCAGCGATTTTCTTAAATTCATGCAAGTTCTGGGAACCTTATAAAAGTGAACAAAAAGCATCCTTCCCTTCCTCCCTCCCCTCTTTTTTTTTTAATTTATTAAAACCAGCAGTGTTAATTGCTTTTTGGAGAAATACAAAATGTAGGACTAATGCAGACTTTTCTTATGATGCTGTAATTAGTTAAAATTTCAAGTAACCTTCCTGTTCCTATTAGTCTCTTTGCTTAAAATAAATGCTTGGAAGTTCTTAGAAACGTGAGAATTTGGTGGTTTTATTGAAGGACATCATTACTGAAATACCATACTGCATACCTCAAAATTTTGTGCTGAATGTAAGATTAGCTGTGAAAAAGCATATGAAAGGTGATGATAATGTATTAAGGCTAGAGCTATGGATAAAGGAAGCCTTTGCCATGCAGCTGGTAATCATTCTGGGGTCAGAGGAGGAAAAGCAGAAACACATTTTGTATTATTTGACTTAAAAATACACCTAAAATATTTTACTTAAAAATAGGCTTGCTCTTGCAGTCTGCTGATATGAGAACCACAAATTGTTAAAGAATACTATCATACAGGAAACATGTAATCTCCTTTGAGAAGCTGAAAAATAAATATTCTAAGCAGTTTTAAACAGAGTGATATTTTATATAAATTTCCTTTAAGAAAGGAGTGTTCTACTTTCTTTTTTTTAAGTGGAAATAGCTCCATAAACATAATTATTAACATAATTATAAACATAATTGAAACTAAACTGAAAATAAGTGTAATAGTTAACTGTATCCTTGACAAGCACACAGTGAGTCTAAGCAGATCAGAAGAGCTGTGGTTTATATTTTGAACATGAGTCTAAGCACTTTACAGTAGTTATAGAATACGGAATAGTTACAGTTAATACCTTTAACAGATTTAAAGTTGCAGAGAAGTGTTCAGTCACAACTTCAATGAAACAGAAAAAAGCATATTGAACTCATTTATCAGTTAATTCTATGAGTCATCATAAAGATCCCTATACAAATACAGGAGTAATAATTATTTTGGCTAGAACAACTCACAAAGTTGAAAACTACTTTTGACTGTAAAATATCTCCAGATATAGTTACTGTTTTTTGACAAATAAATGCCAGTACTCCAAGACAAATGTCATGTTCTGTTTCAGTTGTGCCTGGGTACATGAGGTAGCATGGTACTCTGCCTAAACAGCTTAGAGTTTGAAAACCCTCTTACACAAAGATTACATATATACTTAACTTCATAAATGGTGCTTGTGACTTTGAGCCTAACCTGGATTGAAAGTTAACTAAACATAATCCCACTACATAAACATAAGGTGTATTTCTCTCCATTGCTTAAAGCACACAGCAGAAGAGATGACTGCTCTAAAGTCTGCCCTGTGCTTTGACCGCCCCCTTGCTATATTTAAGGCTTCTCAGAGGCGATTATACAAGGATACCAAAATAAAACAAAACATGTTAGTGAACAGATTAGCTAGTACAGATTTGCCAACATACTGCACTCTGACTCAAGAATATACAGAAATTAAGATACTCAAATTCAGAATCCAGAAAGTCAAAGCAGCAGCGCAGTGAGAATATATGGGAAAAAGCCAGCAAGGAGCTGAAAGTAAATGCAGGGTAGAAGCATATAGGGTACTAGTAAACAAGTTCAGTGGATCTACTCCAATGGATTAAATTATGCAATTGTTGGGTATAGTCACAAGCCTGGCCTTAAATTAAGAGGAGATGCCACCAGGACTAAATCTAGCTATCAGGGAGTTAATTGCAAACCATCCTTTGACTTTAATGAGGGGCAATGAGTCATCTGCTTCACTGAGCCCGCCAGAGCTTGCTTAGTACATTCAACACCTCCCAGCAGGGTGGAGTGTTTGGACCAAACAGTTGATTACTTTCTATGAACAGCATATGAACAGGTTGCTTTATAAAGATGCAACCCAGGGAAGTATCCTGTAGAAGCCACACAAAGTTGACCAGTTCCTTGCTGATACGTGTTTGTGGTTCGAACAGAAAAGCTACCATTTCTGTAGGGTAGAGGACTACATCAAAACCAAACCAACAACAACAAAAAAACAATATTTATGCAGAGCTATAATTGGAATCAGAGCGTATCATGAGTCAGTGAGTGCTGGGAAAAACAAGGGAAAACAGAAAAATTTTATGGAAGGAAGCAGGAGAAAGTTCAAACCACTAAACACATAGGAGTTTGTGGTCTGCTCTGTAAAGCAGTCATACGAAGATGGAAGAATCACTAGAGAAGCGCTTTCCACAGAAAGTCCCAAAAGAAGAACCCTGTACGGAAGAGAAGTCTCTAGTCTTATTAAATACAATGAATAAAGAAAGCTACATTACATCTCTTATGGTCATCTTATCTGTCCCTTATATACCGCTTTGGAAGATATCCTCTTCACTATTCTGTCAAGTTCATCACAGTAGTCCTCATGGCCCTACAGGTCCGCAATAAGCCCTTGCAAGTACAAAATTTTACAGAGAGATGCAAAATACTACATATCATCTGCATCCATACTGATAAACCATCTCAAGAAAATACCATTAAAATCAAATTCTTTATGCTGGTATTTTTTTTTCCTTGAGACGCTTCTTCTGTTCTCCTGACTTTTTTTTTTAGTCATTAAATCAGTTGGATTTTGTCTTACATCTGATTGATTCACTTTGTACTGGTCTACTTGCTAATGTTCAATGGCAAACTTGACTGTCGTTTGTGGATTACTGAAATCCACTTATATAATGGCTGGGATTAAAAACAGCAGCCTGGGTTTATAAAGCCAGCAACATATGTCTAATGGTACTGCCTGCGCATGCACATGTAGATATACCCCAGACTTCAAACACTCCATATATCTCAACCCACTGCCTGCACAAAATCTTTTCTGCTATTACCCTAAGCTTTGATTGCAAACTTACAATCACTTTGTTCAAGTTTAACCTGCATTTTCCAGCTATTGTAAGGGAGAAAATGTAGCAATACCAATATTTTCTACAGCATTATTTTCCTCTTAGATTTATAATGACTTTTATCTGGTGCTTCCCATCATATTTGACTTAGAGTCTGACTTAACTTCATTGCCATCATCAAACTCTCGATTCCCTCTTCAGATGCCAGTAATGTTTCCAAATGTTTCACCAAAAGTGGTTGAGAAACTTCAACACCAACTTCAAAAAAGACATGAACTGCGTATGAACATCCTTCTCCGGACTGCTGCAGTATCCATTTTTTTGAGGCTTTTAACAACTTTCTCCCTGGGTTTATGGTCTCTGTGATGTACCATGTGAACTGCGCATGTATTAGTCATTGTACATCTTTAGTAAGCCAGCTTATTTAGACACCAGTGGGTCAAGGAACATTTGCATGAATAGCTTTACGAGCAGATCCGTGAGGGCAGTCACCTCGAGGGCATCAATAAACAGCTGGGAGAGAGAACTTGTACTCACAGAGCATGATTTGGAAGCAGACATCTGTCCACAGCCTTAAATAATCAAATCCCATGTGTTTTGTTTGTTTAAATCACATTCTGAAGTGTTTTAGAATAAACTTTCCATCTGACTTGGAGACAGTGTTTAAATTCTAGGGCAGGTGCACTAAGCAGCACAAACTCGGTCTTGATCCTCAGTCACCTGACTGAGCATCTCACTGGAAACCACCCGTCTCCCTCCTGGCCTGTACATCCACATTCCTCCTCCTAGGTACAACACAGAAAGTGGAAAAGACGGTGCTTGTGTGCACACATTACAGTACAACACGAGGTCAGACAAAGCTAGGACAAGACACAAATCAGGAAACCTGAATTTCATGGTCAAATTAGTGGCACCTAGCCTACTTGCAAAGAGGACATTGCTAAATCTGTATTTACTAGAAGCACAACATGAGTAAGAAAATTCTCTCTTCCTCCTTCTCCTTACCAGTATTGCCATGCTGGAAAAATCCCCAATATGAACACAGCTGTGCCAATAAAATGTCTGCCAGCTTATTTTATGCCATTTGGCACAGTGATTTAGCTTTGACAGTAAAAAGGGGGCCATGAGGCAGAGCCTCTTCTTGTGTAAGCAAGCTCTCAGATGTGGAAATTAGCCATAAGTCAGCCTTGAGATCTTATTTTTTTCTTTTCTAAAGCAAAGAAGGTCTGCTGCCAAGCTCTGCTTAATCCAGTGAGAACTGCGGGTAACATTTTTTCCTGTAGGAAAAGGTCTAAGTATAGCCAGGTATAGACACTGAGCTATGAACAAAACACTCATTAGACCTATATATCAAGTTATCATACAGCTACATGTTTCACATTAGGGTGAGAGATGGGAGGTTTGTGAGGCTTAATGGCAACAAAGAATAAATGGTAAAATAAATAAAAAAGATGTACTTACCAAACCAAGCTTGTTGTTCTCCTTGGACTTCTATAGCCAACCCAAAGTCCGCCAGTTTTACTGCTGCTCCCTTGGATTTGCTAGCTAAAAGCAAGTTCTCAGGCTTTATTCAGAGAGAGAAAAAATTGACATGAAAAGATAAGTAAATGAAAAGATAAGTACCCCTGTACTTTCATTTTTTCACTTTCTTTTTATTTAATCTGGAAAAGAACAATTACTTAGAGAAGAGAAAAAAACATGCATTTTCTCCGTAAAAAAAACCCCTGTACTTTCCACTCCTACTGGGGAAAGACCATCAGTCTTTGTAAATGGTGTTCATGATCCCTTATGATGGCAAGGCTAAGGGCAATATGCAGACCTACAAAAGAGCTATGTAGACTGGAATGGTCATATAGAATTGCTAAGCTTGTTTGATAATAGAACAATTCTGAGAGTATTTAATAGTTCAGTACCAGAAAAATGCAGCAGAAAAAAAATAGAGATATCCTGTATCTGATGACTGCCTTAATTTGCAGGGTTGCAAACTGCATATTTTAACTGCAACTGTCAAACAAACAGAGCATAAACGCATTTTCCAGCACAGCCTACCAATAACATTGTTTTTATGATTGTATTTAGAGTGCAAGTGTATTTACAGCCCCAATCTTCCAGCAAAAGCAGCAAACCCATAGTTCTGCTTACATAGAACCTACAACAAACACCACTTTTTGAAGGTGAAATAAATTAGCAAAAAAAACACCACTGCTTTTTTTGAGGGAATGTCTGTCACAACTGAAAGCAAATGGTACCATATATTTATATAGTGAAAAATAAAGAATTTGAATATTACCAATGGTGTTCATTCTAGTGTTCATAACAATCCTCTCAACTTCAGTTTGCAAATACGCCAAACATAAATTGTCCAAACATAACTATATTCTTTGAACGTTAACCTTTCTCACAATTTACAGAATACTTTAGAATCCAATATATAATTTCAGAAAACTGTGAGCTCCAAAGGCTTTCCTTGGCCCTTCTTTCTTTCTTTCCTTATAATCTCCATTACTTTCAGAAGAGGGTTTTGTTTCATATTTGTCTATAATGAAGTCTGTTTCAAGGATAAATTTTTCTAGTGGTATGTCCACAAGGGAATTCACTATACCCAGCCTGGCACTGGGGACCCAATCCTGCAAAATCTTAAACCCATCCTTCATTTTAAATCCAGCAGCAATCATATAAGCTTCGAAGGGACTATTCACGTGATTACAGCTAATCCCATGCAGGTACTGATCTTGGGAACAATTAAGAGTATAAGCTTCTTTGGGCAAAGACCATCTTTAATACATCTGCCAAGTATCCATCAAAATATGCTTGAGCCCAATTAAGACCTCTTTAATTAAGAACTTTTATTAGTTAGCAATTCTATTGGTTAGCTTAAAAGGGTTTCTTTCCCCTGTTCTCATCAAACTAAGTTTCCTTCTTTCTTTTTTCCTCAGTTTGCCAGCACTGACATCACTGAGACTTCCTGACAGATAGAGGAAAGGACAAAATAACACACACTTAAAGGTGCATTTCTGCCTTCCTAGTCCAAAAGAAAAAACCTTTTTACCCTTCATAAAGACACGTTTGAAGTAAAGAAGAATGAAAACCATTCTCCCAGCCATCCCTATCATGCAATAAAGGAGTTTTTCTTAGAAAGCTGTTACCAATAATCACTTGATGAAACTTATATATAGCATATAAAAATAAGATTTCTCAGAATAAAATTTTAGTTTTATATTATTAAAAACAAATTCAACCACATTATATCCACCACTGAAGAAACAGCTTTGAGTTCTTCTCCATCAAAATTCACTTAAGTCACATGACATTGTTTGCCACTTAACCATACCTATTTCAATACATGGTCCCATATGCTCTTGAAGGTTTTCTATCAGAGTAGCAAAAGTTTACAGTAATTACTTCCTGGATGTACTACTTATATAAACCTCTTAAAGCAATGGCTGATCCTATTTGGCTGTGACCTTCAGCAATCCGAAAGAAGTGAAAGGCCACACACTCTTGGTTGAGACACAAGTAACATTTCACTTAGCAGAGTGCGATTCTATTCAAAATAAGGTTTTGGTGGCGGGGGGAGATTTTCTCTTACTAAGGGGATTTTTCTTTTTTGGGTAGTTTGGCTTCGTTTTATGCCATTACATGTCTTTAACCTGCCAGCAAAAGTACTCTACCTACACATCATTCCCACAGTATACATATCTTTCGAAGCAGACTTGCTGATTTAGCATGCCAAAAGGTATCAGCCTTTTGGGCAGTGGTGTGTGGGGCTATGCCCCTAAACAAACGCAGCTGTCGCTTCCAGAAACACATTAAGTAACTACCATGCATGAACTCAAAGACTGCAAGGACTGGAAAACCTGAGAGCCCAGCCAGGGTCATCAGGTCCCACAGTTGGGACTGGACAGTGTCACCTTGCATTACTGGCAGGCTGGCTGCAGTCATACATGCAGAATGGCAGGGTCAATAAAACTACTCATGAATTAATAAACATGATTTGTGCCTTACTCTTCTGAAGGTCGTTGTTCTTAGAGATCAAGTATTTATGCCTCTGTATATTTTTTCTTGAATATATCACAGCATCATTTTGTTTTTTGATTTACCTATTTAACTTCAATGGGAAATGCAAGAGGGTCATAATCATATAGTTCCACAAAAGCAGCAAGGCTGCTGTCTACCAGGACTTGAAATTCCTACATGAAAGTACACTCCTGCCATCTGTTAAAGACAGGTTAGTTTTTACTGGATCTAGGGTCCATCATTATTGTGACCTGTACCAAGTAACGCAAACTAGGCAGCAATAAGCAGTTCTGCAGGTTGTAAAAGGCTGCCAAAGCTCCTGTTTGCTATTAAATCACACTGAAAGGCAAGTTAAACAAAATCAGATTGTCTCACTCTGTATCTTCTCCCCCTCCTTCCCCTTCCCAGATCCAAACATGTCCTCAGGTTGTGATCTGAGGTACTGGAAAAAGTTCATCCGGTTTTGGGGCAAGTTAGGTATTTGCACCAGGTACCCATTCTCTGTGTCCTGCAGTTTTGGCCCCCTGTCTTTGCAACTTCTCCTGAGCATATTCTACAGACATGCCCGTGCAAACATGTCTACGGGTATTTCATTGCTCTCTTCCATTTCGCTCACTTTTTCTTTTCCTTGACACGAGGTAGTAACTGAAAAAGGATGAATTTCTGTTTCCTGAAGTTTTTACTTTCAGAAATGATATCAAGTACTAGAGCTTGGCAGAAGCAGATTTTTCTCATTGTTTCCAATTCATTCTGGAATTGCCAGAATAAGAAATCTACACATTGTCTGGAGTACAGGAACAGCTGGAATTAATACATTTGTGATTAAAAGTTTATTTTCTTATGAATGTAAGAAAGTTACTAGAAAGCACTTCTTATTCTATCAGTTTACATAGCTACCACCACATTTTTAAAAATTCTTTTTCATGCTTGATGCATAACACTGCATGTACAGTGAGAAAAGAAATCTTTGGAGCAGCTGGACAAATTGGACATTCTTTCATTTGAACTTGCAACATTTTCCAGCTGTCACACAGGATATATGCACTGGACAGAGACTTAACAGTCTGATGCTGTAGAAATGTGACACAAGGAAATCCGGGAGCAAAATACATAGAAAATTTTTTTCGTGACTTTGGAAAGCACTCTGTTCTCTAAGCCTTCAGAGTGTAGCTGTTAACTATTATGTAGGACAACAACGAAGAGTTTTGTAAATCAACACAGCTACTATAACAGCGTCTTCTCTGGGATGAAGGATGTCAAGAAAGAAGACAGCATTTTGACTGCAGTTATCATTGCTAATGACAAACACTCAAGAACTCATGTCTTGGAAGGAAATTCCTGCTTCCTGTAACTGAGTCAGAAGAGAAAATAAAAGAGGAGCTGTGCCAGCAACTATTAGCATGTTTCACTCCCTTGGCCAACATGCCACTTTTCCTCTGCCTGGGTGAGGGATCTCATTTGCTTTCCATATGATCAATCTCCTTTACTCGGGATTCTGAAGCCCAGGTGCTCAAGTTAGCCCACTTCTACATCCACAAAGGTCCTCATTTAACACCAGGTCTGAGAGACAAAATTGTCGATCTGAGATTTCCAGTGACAGAAAATGAACTTCACTTGTTTCGATCTCCAACATGCTTTAAATGCAGGGAATATTTCTGCAGCAGAAGTTTCCAGTCAGCTGGGAATTACCACAGTTATGAAACTGTGATATCCTTTTCAACACAAGGCCCTCCTTCTGAGGCTTCTGTTTCAGTACTAGAATTTACCTGGGAGGAGCTCAGTTCTTTGGGAATGCACATGGTAAGAACAGTGTGGGAAATCCATCTCTCTAAAGATGTTTGGTAGTCCAGCCATCTGAATAGGAACTCGAGGAGACAGAGGGTCTTTCTGCCAGCCATCTCCTAGCCCTTGGCTTTTCATCACCAAAATGTGCAACTTGGAAACATCTGTGTGCTTCCCAAGAAGCACATCAAGTCATGTTGAAGCAAGATCCTAAGCCCTCTCCCCAGAAAGCTCTGGATGACAGAGGAGGACTGTGTATCTAATAAATACACTAAATACTTGAAAAGTATCTACTGTTTTCCCCGGAACTGACACATAAGGAAGGGCGGCTGTGCCTCGCACAGGCCAGATCCGCACAGTCGGTACCGGCAGGCGGTCAGCCTTCGGGACAATTCCTCTGGTGCCTCCCAGGAGCTGGCTCTTGCACGGAGGCGAAGCGAGTGGGGCAAACCAAGCGCTGGCTCCCAGCGAGCAGGGCGCCCCGCCCCGGCCGGGGGCACCACTCACCTTGAGGTCGCGATGGACAACGCCCATCTGGTGGCAGTGGAGCACGGCCTCCAGGATCTGCTGAATGCAATGACTGCATGCAAACACCGGGGGGCGCCCGTCAGTGCCAAGCGGGCGGCGGGGAGCGCCGCGCTCGCCCCGCGCGGAGCGGAGCGGAGCGGAGCAGCGCGGAGCGCGGCAGGGCGAGCGGAGCAGAGCAGAGCAGCGCCGAGCAGCGCAGCACGACGGCCCCAGGCAACGCCGCAGGGCCCGCGAGCAGCAGCAGCTCCAAGACGTGTCCTTTTTTAAAAAACGTTGCCTTTTTTTTTTTTTTTGAAGGAAAATTTTAGGAAATGTATACAAATTGAGAATGTCTGCCAATGCACAGTTGCCAAGGCCGTATTAAATATTTTGTCTCCTCTGTGCTCTTTCATCCTTCACTCACTGAGCGCCCTCTCACTGTAGTGGCCGCTGAGGTAAAACCCCGGCAAGCAAGGAGCTTTCAATGAATTATTAACCTCTCCCAGCCCAATTTAGGCAGCAGCATCAGGACTTGCCTGAGGACTCGTCATACTCCGATGCGGCAACGTGCAACCGCTTGCGCTGCTGCTGCCAGCCTGCCTGCAAACGGCAGTGCGGTTACATCTGCAAGCTGACATACATCACAGCCAACGTCCACCTCCGCACGCCAACACAGCGAGACACGGAAACCCCTAATGAAATACCAGACACGTTCGACAGCACGGGATCAATCCAGCACCTTGGAAGGAGACACTGTTTTGGCAACCATTCCCCCTTGTGCCATGATGTATATTAGGCCTGTAGACTTGCAAACTGGAAAAAGGCGTCATGCATTATTTGCTCCTTGAGTTGTCTGGAGGGTGAGGAGAGGCAAGGGAACATCGCGGACACCCACCCTCGTCCCCTGCCCAGTGAAGGGGAAAAGAAAAAAAAAAAAAAAGTCTTATCCAATTGATGGGCACCAGATACTGACCTTCAGGTCTCTGTGCACTATGCCATTTAGGTGACAATGATTAACACTTTCTAGAATCTGCTGTATACAATGACTGCAAAGATACAAGGGCAGAATGGAGGGGAGAACATTTTAAAGGCACATAATCACATCAAGTACAAAAGAAAGTAAAACTTAAAAAAAAGTATAAAGAACAAAAGCAATTTCACATCTCCTGACAAGTCCTGCTTGTACACTGAACTGGAGCAAAACAATGTGGAATACAGAGATATTTCCAGCTCTAGCACACTGAAAAAAAAAACAAAGCAAAACAAAAAAGTCCCCTAAAACAACCCAAAAGAAACAAACCAATGAAGACATCTAACATGGAACATATGACACCTATTAGGCAGAATCATTGTGCTACATTTCCATTCAGCAGTACGGAAGCTTTCTCCAGTTTCCAAAAACTGCTATAGGAAAAATTAATGGGAAGCAATAAAGTACTTGGTATATCTGCTATATTTTACGAGATTTTTTAAAGTTAATATTACAACAATGCTGAAACAAGAATGTCTTCAGAAATGAAATTATAAAAAATGAAACAAACAAAAAATCAAAAGCTAAGGAAAAACAAAACATTCCCCATTTTGAATCTAATGGTTTCTTAAACTACTAGAGTAATGCCAAGTCATTCAAAAAAGAGGCATGCATTTTCATTTAAAAATAGAGTCAAGCAATTGTTTAGTTGGGAGTCACTCATCAAATGGAAATCTACATTAGAAGATTGGTGCAAAAGTTTTATTTTCAGCTTAAAAAATGAATTAGCACCTGTTTTTCCATGTCCAGGTTTGCAAGTTTTGGCCAGCCTACAGTGCCAAAAAGCACAATTAAAATATTCATCTTTTACAGCACTGAAACCTTGCCAGATGTTTTTCAGCACCACAAGAACTTAGAAAAAAAAATTTAAAGATTAAATTGTGGCAGAAGTCTGTGACTAAGTAATACACAGCAGTCAGGGACCGAGGATCTGGCAGTGCTCATCCAAAACGTATTGGCCATGGAATTCAGAAGGAATGGTCATAAATCAGTAACTGGAGCTCAAACCTGAAAACCCTTTCTTATGTGAGTAGTTCACAACTCACTGAAGTGCACTGCTCGTTGGAATAAGGACTACTGGCATGAGTAAGGGCTTGCAGGAGCAGACCAGCATTATGATGACACAATATGCATCTATAAAGACCAAAACTATCTCTAAAGGGATAACACATACACTCACTATATATATATACACATATATATACACACACATGAATATATATATATATAAATTAGAGATGCATGACAATTATATATTGCACTTATTTGATCAAGTTTTTACTAAATATATGAATATATATATGCTATATATAACATATATATACACATATGCACAGGCTCTTCAAATATATAATAATACTAAAAGAAACATTAAAGTTTTTCCTTTGTAACCACAATTATCTTAGAAGACACAATGACACTATATGCTGGCCTTTGGCATCAATACTGAAAATCTTGCCTGATTCAAGATGTTGAAAGCACTCAACTATTTGTGAAATAGTTGTACATCTGTCTCCCTGCATCCTGTCCCATGCAGCCTGTCTTCCTGCATCTCACCTTAACTACTGATCTACTTTTCTACAATATGCTTTATTATGTCTTATTCTAGGTTTAAATGCTTAAAGTAATGATATTTCTACCATTTCCCTGGAAATTTGACTATTAAACAGCATGTGACACTTCCTAACTTCTAGCCCAATTTCTCATTTGTTCATTATTAACCTACCACTGTTGTTATAGACACTTAAGGCTTTCCAGGCATCTATTACAAATTCCTAACACAAAGGAATAGCTGAAAATTATATATACTGAATATGTATCACTAGTGGCACGTGATTACACACAAAACCATGATGATTCTTTAAATTTACTTTGAGAGTAATTTTCTGTAAACAGTGCAGCACTATGACAAATTTTATTTAAATAAAGTAATGGATCACTGTGTTTAAGATTTATTATTAAATAAGGGCAAAAAGACCCTGAAAAGGAAAAAATGGCCTTGCTACTTTGTATTAGCATGCAAACATGATAATACTCAACTGGTTCTTCAATTTTTGAAACAGCACTTGCAGCAAATTACTAGAGATTTCAGGTTTGAGCATAGACTGTGAGATGCCCAGACTAATTGCTTATTCGTGAAACACAACAAAGGTCTTTAAATATGAAAATGAAATTAATCTTTCTGGATTCAAATCAAATGCAGTATTTAATATAAAATTATTTTCAAAACCAACATGCAGTTCAACAAATATGAGAAACCCTGGATGACAAAGCTGCAATGTTAATTCCAGTTTACAAAAAAGAAAACTGAAAAATATTTTTTTTCACAAGTTAGCAAAGGTTTAACAAATTTTTGTTTGTTAAAACATAAAATTCCAGCTTTTTTAGATCAGCAGACAGTTGATTTTATGAGTTTCTCATCACACAGTCTTGAGCTCAAAACTTCAAAACTCTTCCAAGTCTGAGAGAACTCTAGGAGAAATCCTAGAGTCCCAAATACTGTGCTACTCTAACTGATGCCAAACACCATGCGATACTTAAATAACAATGCTAGAATTACAAAGGGCAGCATGAGAAAAATAAATGACTTACCTGGCATCTGCTTCACTGTAATATTCTCTTGCAACTATATCTTCAAACAGTTCACCTCCGGTGACTCTGTTAACAAAAGCAAGATAGACAAGGAGATTTCAGAAGTGAAAACATGCATCTTAAATGTAGCTTGACAGGGAGAGGTCAGGAAGGAATAACCAAAATATTTGTACAGAAATGAAAGAGGTCTTGACAGCAGTGTGGAAGAACTGCATTCTAAAGTTTGTCAATCTAAATGTTAGATGAATAACAAGGTTGTGGTGGAAAAGCAATCAGAACTGTCAAACAAAAACAAAGCACTACAGCTTACTGGGCAAGATGCCAAAACTGAGAAAAAAATCTGTTAAGAGTAAGCAATAAACCTACATGAATGAGAGGGTATTGACCAACAAGGAAAGCTGTAGATCAAGTTCTGAAAAGCTCAAGATAAACAGAGAACTGCAACCACCAAGCTGCAGTTAAAGGAAAATTCAATAATTGCAAAAAATGGAAAGGTCTTCAGGTGTAGATTGAAACACAATAGAGACAGAATCCATGTGCCAGCCTGACTGGAATTTTGTTGTTGTTGCTAAAGGGAGAATTACTGAGTAGGAGAGAGACAGATGTCAGTAGAAGCAGAGTATCTTAATCAATTTAATGGCATTTTGGACTTTTTTTTTTCTTTCCTTTTTTTTTTAAATATTTTCAACTATGCTTCTGTCAAGAAAGGAGAAATACTTTAGTGAAGTCACCAATTACATGAAGAGGCACTAACACTACGGAAGAAGAACTGTATGATCCAGAAGACCAGTAATAGAAGTAAAAACAAATAAAACTGCTATTAGTCAATCAAAGGAGGGCAGCTCAGAATAAATGACCAAAAGGATGCTGCCATAGTCCCAAGAATGCTTTTAAAATAACAGTCACAATAACAGGTTTTTTTCCATATAGCAGTAAAATATGGAAATATCGTATGCCATTCTGGTAACTCATGTTGAAGGAAGGGGAATGAAAACAACAATATCAGCAGAAAATTGCTACTAGACTATCCATTCACTTATTCATCTTATTCTCTCAGAGGAAGCACAGCTAGCATAGCTCGACAAAACAAAGTTCAAGAGGGCTATGGCAACTTTCTAAAAATAGATATTGAAGACAGGGAGCATAAATACTATAAAGGAGAGCTGTGGGAGACAATGCTGTCACAATAATAAGTGAGTATAAAAAACTCGTGAGTAAATATAGGCCTAAAAGGTTTCTAACTATGGTATAGCTGCAATAAATAAATAGTATTTGCCAAAGGAACTGACAGGTGCTCTTTTAAGATGATGATTGATGAGCTTTTTAATAAACTCACAAAACTTGGCTGCCAGTGCCAGCAAGAGACTGGGCTCAGCGAAACAGGAGGATCTTTCCAGTTCTGCACTCTACATTTTCTTTTATTGAGGATACTGGCATACTTTCCCAGCTAAATGCACATCTTAATGTATTCAGATGCTGTGTTTGACTGCTGAAAATAGATGCAGGCCCTGAAAGGCACAAGACGTGCAGCACCCACCTGCACAGCCTCAACAGTGCGCCTTGTACAGGACACATGAGTTAGTCTGCCTCCTCTTTCCCAAAACCTCAATCCCATGAAATATCCATATTTCAAATACCTTCTAAGAACAGCTTCTGTATAGTACAGTCTGTTGTTAACAAATTCCCAAACTTAAGGGAGTGGGCTACAATGAACTTGATAAAATTGTTAAAATCTGCCCAATCACCAACATCTCTACAGCATACAATTTTTTTTTCAAATGTCAAAAATTAGAAGTGAGGATACCTGGATCTGGAATGTTCAGAATATTCATTTTCAAATTGCTGTAATAAAGAGTTCAATGCAGTTTCCAGTTATTTAGTCATATTAGATGAGGACAGAAATTAAATGCTCAGCCAGTACCACAACTCTCTGAGAAAGAAGGTCGAACTTTTTGCTTTCTTTTTTCCATATATATTTGGGGTTTCATCTCTTCCTGAGTTCACACCTTACTAACTTCAGAAAGTAATCACTTTCTTATAACAGAAGGCTATTTTGTACAAAAGTCTGCAACAACATCTGCAGGAAGCATAATAACATGCTGCCTAATTTTTACTCTGTCACTCTTCTTTCGACTTCTACCTTCCAGAAATTGGCGTCGGTTGCTGTAATACAAAATGCTCGATTGAGGCATATTTTGACAGTCTTGAGATCATCTTTTTCATACACATTTTTCATACTACAGTCTTGGTAAAGAGGAATAATTCTCATTTTGTGAGGAATGGAAAAACAAAAGCATCCTTTGATGTTACTCTTCTGAAATGCTCATTTGTCATCCAAGTCAAAATAAAAAAATGAAAAAATAAAACACAAAGTTTTTGTCATCAAAGTGAGCTGCACTGGAAAGAACACCAAGTAGGTGCTTGTTCTACTCATGCACAGAAAAAAGAGGAGGCTTTGCACTCTTACTTGCTGACACTGAACACTTGCTGGTGTTCATAATCATTGTTAGAAGATGAAAAAAGCAAGAACAGAACAGGTGAATTTCATGCTGACAAGCAAAGAACAGTTCCCACACACTGTCACTTTGAGAGGCACATTAGGAGCAACTGCTAAAAGCCAGGCAGATGCCTGCAGCAATAGGTTGTGCCGCTGCCCAGAGAGAGTCTGGGAGCTACCCGCAGCTTCTGGGCCCTTACTCTTAGAAAACTCTTAATAGCATTAGCAGTATAACTGGTCTTAGCATATTATATGAACTGACAATGTGTCCTTGTAGCAAGGGAGGTCAAGTGCTTCATGGTATTACCAAGAAGAAGGGCCAGTAGGTCGAGGGAAGTGATTCTTCCCCTGCATGTTGGCACGCATGAGACTCAATCTAGAGTACTGTGCCCACTTAGGGATTCCCCAATACAAGACAGACAATGACATCCTGGACTGAATCTACTGGAGGGCTACTAAGACCGTTGGAGGACTAAGAGCACATGATGTACAGGGAAAGACTGGGAAAAGAAGGTTTGTTAAACATTAAGAAGAAAAAACTTCAGAAGATCTCTGCTGTATACAGCTCCTGACAGGGTGGATACAAGAAGACAGGATCAAGGGCTAGAACATGGAAAAATCCAAACCAATACATTTTTTTCATTGCTTATTAATATACTTTATCATATACATGTTTCCCCAAAGAGGTTTTGTCATCTTCATTGTTGAAGATGTTCAAAACTTGACAACCCCCTGAGCAACCTGAACTAACTGGACCTGTTTCAAGATGAGAGCACAGTCTTCTACAACTTACACCATTCAATGATTCTGTATATAAGGAACAGAACAGTTACCAATGATTACTGTTGTCCCCCATGCAGTTTAATACCAAGACAGCTTCAAAGTATTCCAGCTTCTTCTTAGACATCATTTTGCTAAGTGTATTTTCACCTGTATCTTTAATTATAACATATGCTGACTAAGGATGGACTTAAGATATCTAGCACAAACATAGACTATACAAATATAAGAGGTCTTTGGTCATGAGTTTTGCTTGCCTATTGAAGGGCTGAAATGACCATCACCTGAAATTAAACTTCATATACTCTTTTAAAGAATGCATGACTCAAGTGTTACTGTGTTGTTAACACTAGGAGCATCAAACTGACTTACGCGGAGATGTGTGCCAAAATCCAGGAAGCACTGATCACCAAGTCCAGAAACACTTGGACTGGTTTTTGAAATCCAGTGACATAAGTAAATTAAAATATATCTATTACTTCCACTGCTACTTCTGTTTACTTTTTTCTAACAGCTTAACTAACAGAAAACTAATACACCATAGAGAAAAAAAAAAAGTGTACTTCACAGGTAATCTAATCTGTCAGTATAGATTAGATCTCCAGCTATACACAGATACACCATAGAGAAAAAAAAACTGTGTACTTAATTTCACAGGTAATCTAATCTATCGGTATAGATTAGATCTCCAGCTATACACAGACAGCCTATACACAGCGTAAAGGAAGACTGTATAAGGAAAGATAAACAGAAAAAAAAATTGACTATGCACTAGAAAGTTGCACAAACTGCTGCCAAGCTCCCCAGGAGATTAAAAGGCAGGAAGTAAATGTTATCTGAAGGCCTTTCCGCTGCAGGTATATTGCCAAAGTCCATGAGGTCCGAGTTCATGACAGGACATTCGTTAGAGTGGCTCTGGTAACTTCAGCCGTAAAAGTTTCAACAGGAACTAGTTCTCACAAACTGTTCTTGTTATTTTCTAAGCTTCTGAAGAGCTTAGTAACAGAAACAAATGAAGCATTGGGAAGTACATGCACCATGTAGAAAGCAAGGCCCTCTGCATCAGGTACGTCCTGGATGCAAGTGGAAGGATTTCACATACAGAGTCTGTTATATCCATTTAAATCTCCGGGCAGCCTTGTTAAGAAGAAGAATCTTTAACTGCTCCTTTCAAAAGTGCTTTTTGACTGTCTTTCTATACATGCTGCAACAAATCACTGCACTTAACAATTTTAAATGTCAAATTTTCATTGCAAACATTTTAACAACACATTACACAAAAATATATACTTCATGTGCCATATTTAATTTGTTAGAAAAAAAAAATAGATATCAGCAAATGTTTAAATGGCAAACAGCAGGTTCTCAAATTGGCAAGGCTAATACACATCTTCTGCAGACGATCACATTAGCTTTGTTTCCTCCTGGCTTATATTCCTTATTTTTTAAACTGCTTTTGTAAGTTAGGTGGAAGATAAGAAAACTACCACAGCCACGTATTTTTACATATATGTGACCTTTATCCTTCTGAAAAAAAAACAAAACAAACAAACAAAAAAAAACCCAAAAAACCACAAAGGTTCAGGCACTTACCCTAGGCAGAGATTTTTCTGCAATTAGGCCTTTTAAAATTTATTTTCCTTTCTTCTGTACACTACAGTATCTCCACTTGCAATTTTACAGCAATGCTGGAAGTCTCAATGTACCAATTGTTGTATCTCAACAAGTGCATTAAAAACTGGAGACTACAAGAAAGAGAGAATCTAATTGACTTGCATAAAAAAACTTCAAGTGCTGCAGCTGTTCCCATTCAGATACAACAATTAATACTGACAGAACTGATTGCATATGAACTCATATAACATCATTAACATTGAAAACAATCTCATTTGTACTTGGTGACTGGAATGGGTCGATGTAAAGAGAGACAAAACTACAACTGCCTTAGAAAAAACGGGATGAGAAGTGGGGAACCTTATGCGGGCCATTACTAATTCTGCTGTGCATATTTTGTCACTCTGAAAAAAACACTTCATTACATCTTGCAGCAGAAATATGACAGGAACAAGTCCTCTGCTTGGGACAAGCATCACAGGAAGCTATCACAGTTTATTTTCTAAAATACGTGGAACCACACTGACAGAGCAGTAACCAAATTCCCAGACAGCACTTTCATGGAGTCCTTCAAAATCTCTACTTTCCTGCTTAAGTACAAAGTAACTACCAATGCTCCAGAATTACACTGTTATTTACATATTTCAATCTTATGTTCAGAGATAGAGTCAGTAACCAAGGGCAAAAAAAATGTACAGAGCATATCAAATCATTACTTCAGTGCATGTATTTTTTTTCTTTTAAATATGCACCACTTCTCACAGGAACACCCCTATCCTACAAATAGAAAGAATTTTCTTACTATCAGAAATCACATTTTTCACACATAAATGTGTAGAATCCATACGGATTATAAAGGACTTCCACCTTCCCATTTTTACATTAGAACTCTTCACCCAAACGCAAGCCTGTAACACAGTATATGAATCACCTTTTGGTTTTTTTCCTCTCTATCAGTGAGGTAACACAAATGAGGCAACAGACTTGTTCTTCAGATAGCAGACATCTCTATAACACTAACTCTATCAAGATTATTAGGAATTGAAAACAGAGAATGACAATCACTATATTCAAAGAAAAGCACGGTTCCCCTTCTCATGTGGGATGTAGTCTCAAGGGAATTTCTAAAGAAAGAGTAGCACCAAATCCCACACAGTCTGGAAGAAATCAGTAAGATAAAGACATGATGGCATGTGTAGGTGGAATGACAATGTTACACCACAGTCAAACTCCTGTTGAAAAAAAAGTAAAAGCATTTACTTGACCTTCATATTCAAACAGTATTTATGATGTTCTCTCTTTTTTTTTGACAGATCTTTAATGGACATTTAAATAAGGCACAGGAGTACATACAAAATTCAGTAAAAAAAAGGTTTCATTAATTCGGATTAGTGAAAATTAATCAGTATTAGTGAATATTAAAGCAATCACTTCTTAGCTCATATGCAAAATTATCACTAAGCAGCCACCCCCTACTAAGTAAGCAAAATCTCTTCAAGAATTTATCATGTAGCTTTTACAAAGACTACTATCAGTCAGTACAGCAACCGCAACCACCTCTACTACTTTCAACTTTTTCTCTTTTGCAAAATAATTCATTTTGACAGAAAACCAGAACTACATTATCAAGCCAAAAAAGTGTCCATAAATACTAATGCCTTCTTTAAGAGGGTGAAAACAAACAAACAAAAAACAACCAAGGACTGCTTCAGATGTCAGTGTAGGAGTCCATACACATGGAAAGTTAGGAATAAGACTAACAGTGAAATAGAAGAAAATCCATTCCAGTGCAGAATGTTTGGCAGACAATTTTTTTTTTTTTTTTTTTTTTTGGCAGGATAGTGTTTCTCAGCTCGGCATTGCTTTAATGTTGGTATTACTGCAGAATAAGGCCTTCTATTTGTTCTCTAAAAATCAAGATATATATACAGATATCTACGACTTTGATGTTGCATAAGTGCCACTGCGATCATAATCTCCTGAGATATGTCTGGCATTATGTATACAATTCAAAGCTAAAGCGCACTAGGCGCAGTTACAGCAGGCCATAGTTTCTAACAGTACATGGTGCAGCAAAAAGTAAAAAGGCTCTCAGTTTATAGCAAGGATATCATCTCTAAGACCAGGTATTCCACATCTATTTCTTGGGAATGATCAGGATTAAGAACATTTTTTTCACTTCCACATAGAAAGATTTCCTTTATATACATAAGCTTAAAAACAAATACCACCACCAACAGCACAAGAGCGTACAGGGAGCAAGTCTGCATGCTACGCCCCAGAGCATTTCTGACCCAATAGTCTGAACACTTATCTGGGATATACCAGTCAGATACAAGTTATGCCCAATTCTGATCAGACTACTGAACCCTGAATTCCTTTACTGCACACAGACTAACAATTTAATATTTCTATACTGCTAGTACAGTCCTGTCCTTCACGGGGTCTTCACAGATTTCTTTAGTCAAAAACTATGCCAGAAAATTGGAAGAAAGAGAGGAGAGATTTCACATCCATATACAGCCCTGGAAAAATCTGCAGCTAAAACAGATTGTTTTAATTTAAATAAAGTCAGTTTTGCAAAAAAAATGCTAGCTACGTTTGCCCATACCCAGAACCAAAAGCAGTAACTTTCCACATGAATGGAAAATTCTGCCTGTCCCAGAGAAGAATTAAGAACTTCAGTGCTTTAATTTTGTTTTCAAGTTAAGCACTTGTTACACATACTTCAACCTGCCGAAAACCCCTTCCCTTCTTTTACTATATTATATAAAAGAAACAAGCTCCAGCTCAACAAAATGCATGTTTTTTTTCTCTCTTTCTCATATACACACACACACATCCATACCATATGGATACAGCTTCCAGGAGAACATGGAAACAAAAGGAGAAATAATACAGAAGTTTCCTTTCTATAAGCTGATCATTTTATATTCGGACCGGTGTCAGAACTCAAATAATCCTACACATCAGTAAAACCCGGAATAAAATATTCAGATAGTCTTTTTCTCTCTAGGAAACTCAGGCTTATTTTTCAATCCAGCAATGGGGATTTTCTGTGAAGAAACAATTCCTTTACATGTTTACTTACACTTACACCTCCTTCACTGGACAATAAACTTGCAGCAAATTATTTTTTGACTCATACATTTATAATCTGACCAACTCGCCGCATCATAACTACACATTTATCTTGTGAAGAATTTACATCCAAAAGCTTTGAATACCACATGCCCAACATGATACATATGGAAAATACATACTTACAAGTCAAAGACTAAGTAATGGAATCCTTCTTCTGATATGCTGTCATGAAGCCGCACTATTAAAGGGGGGGAAAAAGAAAAAAAGCAGTCATATTATACATATCTTTCATGTGTGTCTTTGATTTGGGGAGAGGGAAGAGGGATTTTAATTCTGTTGTAGAACTGGTGTTGTACATGTTCTCATCTGCTTTTCAAAATTCTCTCCCCTACAAACTCTTTTTTTATAAAGTGATATAAACAGTGACTCCATCGGACTGTACACGCTGCTCCTCCTGCACTAACTTGAAAGGAGATCAGTGACCTGCTTCGCTTCTGCCGCAGAAGCGTGCTGAAGTCATTTCCTCTCACTCCTACACGCATGCACGCTTACACACACGGGACACTTCCCTTCGTTCTGAGTCACGGCTAAACAAATACTAAAGCCACAATCAGACACTATTTAAATATATTTTCTTAACATTATTTTTTTTCCCCCCTCGGCAGAACCTTTGATTAACCTTCTATTACCTTAATCCATATTCTTCATGTGATAAAACTACTTTCTCAGTGGCATTACTACTTTAAAATTGTAAATAAGGCAAGAAAAAAAGACCCATTAATCATAGCAGAATATATACTTCAAGTGCTATGTTAATAAATAACCAAATCAGACAGTATATGCTGATTTTACAAGAGAAAGCATTCCCTGATTTGAGTTTTAACAACCCAAAAGCATTTAACTGTATTAAAAAGTAAAAGCAGAATACAAACATATACAAGCATACTTTTAATTAAATGCCTGTACTTTTAGATCATTTGTTTCAAATATTTAAACAAGTTAACTTGCCAGGTAATAACTAGTTTCACACTAACATGTAGTCAAGTTACCCTAATACACAAGTCATGCATATACTGCATAAAAATATTGTACACTTGAAAGTCAGTTTTCTGTTCCGTAGAAACATCTTTCTCCTCTAAGTAATAACACGCTACACTTGCAGGTGAAAATGAAACAACCTGGTGCAACTGCCATTTATTCTGCCCTTAAAAACAAACAACCTGCCCACCCCCATCCTATGAAATAAGGAAAGGGTCAGTATAGCAAGAAAAGAAATATTGAAAATGTCATGCGTATTTTCTAGGTTTAGTTACATCTCAGGAAAGCATGGAATTAAACCCCTCGTGTCAAGTTTTAAAAAGCCATTAAATTCATTTATGGAAGCAGACAGCTAAAATAAATCAAATCATCAGGCTCCAAACCTAAATACATGTGAAGCTGCTCACAAGAAGAAATTACACAAGCAAGGAGCTCATGTGTTTTTGTTTTTAATACTTGAAATAGCATTTTCCAAAGCAAACTTTCCTACAACACATGCAAAATTTATCAGTGGTTTGATCCATAACACTGCCACTTATACAACCAAATTAAAAGTCAGGCTACCCTAAAACCACTTTACTTTCAAAACTAAATTGATGAAAAAGTGCAAGAGAAGGACTTTCAGATTTCCCCTGATGGTAGCTTTAAATATTAATCCTTTTTAATGCAATACATGAGATTAAAAATAAATCAGGAAAAAAATCACTTAAAAAAATCAAATAAATATGTCTTTTTTTCTTAGCAATATTTTGCCTGAGGAAACATCTTGTGTTTACACAATACTGAAGAGAAAACCAGCTCTTGGCTGACTCACTGCCCAGAGCTTGTGATGATTCCAAATTCCAGTAGGTCTAAATCAGAATTTGTGGTTTGTTTCTGTGCTCAAGGCTTATCTTATTTATACAAAGTACAAGCTTTGAGCATGAAGGACCAAAGTGACAGAATGTTGCTACAGAAGAATAATTCCATTTTAGGAATTCGAGGGACATATAGATTAGAAAATTAGAAGATAGCTGAAAAATACAAAATGCAATTGGTCAAAAACCTAGCGCAAACCTGAAGCGTGAGAATAACTAAATACTAACAGCATAACAACAGTAGGAAATATGAATCTTCCAAATATTTATGCTAGTGTATTTTTAATGTATCTTTAGGAAATATCACTCCATTTTTTTTTTTAAAACGTATTTATTGTTGAGGTCTGCGAGTTCAGATTTCAATATCCCCTAATGTCAGCTTTTTAAGCAGACTAAATTTGGGATGAGATATAATAATATCCTAAAACTACAGACTTAGGATTGATAGTTACCAAAAATCTTGCTTATCATCAGACAGGCAATATTAATTTTTTTTTTCTTAAATACTCCACAGTGAACACATCTACTTTGGCAGCATTGCACTACTTTATAGAACAGTGTCCAGGATACTAGTGGTGAATCATTACTCCGATAGTGAGTCAGGAGTGGGAATTATTTCAGGCCTTTGGATATGAGATGTAGCGTAACCCTAAAATAACAACGACTTGCAGAGGGCAGCCAGTACATTTTGTCTATTCCCTTCTAGAAAAGCTTAAAACTTTTCAAGATTTAATACATAGTAAACCATACCCTTTGGTAGTAACTGCATGTTTCTGAAATAGACCAGTAAGAAATCAAAGTAAGGTTTTTCTGTGAACATTTTTTTGATTCACAGCAGCATTCCTCTCCCAGCTGTTTGCTTAGAACACCCTAATTCATCCAGGCAGAAGGCTTTATATTAGAATTCTCTGTTGGGTATAGAGATGAGAGCTACCAAGTATTTCTTGCCAGGCAAGAAGATTTCTTCCAGCAGAAAATGCTTCGTCCATTTGCAGATGAAGCAAACGACTGATCTCTTATTATCACCCTATTTTAGTGCAAAAATTTTTCTTGAATGCATTTATAAAAAAGTTACCTCCTTGGTAAGAATCAAGTCAACACAGATCTTTCATTCATAGATCTCTGTCTTTAAGATAAAATTCTCCAACTGTGACCCTGAAGCGGTCACACTTCACTGAAGTCACGGGAGAAGCCTAAGATGAATTCCTTTACCTGTGGTCCAAGGGAACTGCAGCCAATTGCAACCCCCCCCCCTTTTTTTTTTTTTTTTTTTAAAAAAAAAGGCATCTACACCTTGCACTGCAAGGGGTAGCTACACGGACGCGTAACCATATAGTAAATACTTAATATTTATAGACTGAAATGGTCTGAAATACAGACCATTAATGGCGTTACAGCTATGTTCGCAGCTCCACATAGAACAGTGGCTTGTTCTTACTATTTCAGAGAAGCACCTTTCCAGAGCCAAGAGGCATCTGTGACATCCCTGTTACTAAGCATGGTGCTACGTGAAGAGGCTTCTAGAGCTTCACTGCCTGCCTGAAACGAGAGACATTCTCATTCTGTCATCTAAAAGAGGGATGCCGAACACTACCTCCCTTCTGATTTGAAAATAACTGGAATTTGAAATGCTGGGCAATGTTTCTTAGTTCAGTGAGGCTATTTTTCAACTAGCCAAGCTCTAGCCTGACCTGTCAGTGGAAATTTCTTCAAGGATCACATTCTTTCTTTTCCTTTCCTCCCCTAGTGTCTGACTCATAAGTGAGAGAGGTCAAATCCTTCCCTGAATCAGCATCACATGCCTATGATTGCCTGAAGCAGTCAGGGAAGATCAAAAGTGTCTTTTGGCAATTGCTTGCTTTGGAATTGTCAGTCAGTTCAAATACAGCTATATGCCATTTACCCTGCTAGGTGAATGAAAACCCTAAATACTCACGGAGAGAGGAACAAAATCTCTGATGAAGACGAGACAGCCTAAGAATCTGGAGCAGAGGGTGCACAACAGCAAAGAGGCCAGTGCAGGAGGGATTGCAGCGCATCCTGTGCGCAAATAGTCTGCAACTCTGCTCTGCACTAGAAAGAGTAAGGGATGTGGTGGAGGCAATTTGGGAAGCCATTTGCAATAGCTTAAGGGGTGACTCACTACAAAAGGTATTGGTGTATTCTAATTCAAACCTAGCCATTTCTTTACACAAAGTACTAGGCAGGATTCAGGCAAGGCAAACTAAAGAGAGCAATTACAAAAATTACTCACTTCATATAAAAAAATCCAATCAGTAACCCACACTGCAACTCTCTTCAGAGACAAAAAGCATTTAACAGTACATTCAAAAATTTCACTTATCTTTTGCGAGAGAAGACTTCAGTAAGACCTAATTATCATTAATTGGAGCTGGGTAGTCCCTGAGTGTTTCATGAGTGCTGTCAGAAACAGGCAGTTAGATGGTGGAAAGGACACAAGACACTAACTTTTTTCCTCCTTCACGCTGTACTACTATTCTCCTCCATGGATTAGAGAGTTGCAAAACACATCTTTGACACAGAGGCTTCAGCAAACAACTTGAAATACTTGATAGAAAGTCAGGAAGCATAGAGTTTTTTCTATTTTCAATTTGAAAAATAACTACAAACCTACTCAGCCACTACTATTTCTACCTGGCTTCAGCACTAACTTTCATCTGAGGGAGATGGTCACCAGTCACCAATCTATGACAATGGTTATAATTTAAAGAACGCCTACCAGGTTCGTTCTTAGTCACCAATTTGGGCAAGCTCCAATAAGAGAAAAAAATAAAATTATCTTCTCTATTTGGCTTTTTGGGCCTAACTGTAAAATTTTGTGTCTGTTCTACAGAATACTGCTGGCTATGATGGGCAACAAACAGGTTTATTGCCTCTTTTTTCAGAATTTTTGTCTTTAGAGAAAAAAATGTAAATTACAGAAGTCTACATACTTTCAATGTGCTTTCCTCACAAGTGCAATTCCAGGGGAATATTAAAAATGGTTATATTGATCTTTCACTTATGCGGAAAAAAATCTTCAAAAAATGAAAAGTATTTTATGAATTAACTTAACAGAATGACTTTAATCCTGGATTTCATGTGAACTGGTATCTGTTTGCCACTAAAAATCAGATAAGTGGTTGCATTTTGAAATACTGAGGTAAACCAAAGCATTAATTACCTTTATCAGTCCGTATCAGAATATACAATGGAAATGCTTTTTGGTAGTATTTGACCTGCTCACTTTTCTATATGAAAATGCCTGCCTATAAGCATTTTCTACTCTCTGACAGAGAATGTCTCAGCAAAGCTGCTTTTTTGCAGCGTGAGAGTCCTGTTA